CAACAAGAAATCCCATAGAGTCGCTGGCACGGGCCCCTGCCTCATGGCCACACTGGTCTCGCGCTCATTCACTGGTCCATCTGTGCTCGTACATAAGCCTTCGTCTCAACTTGTTTGAGTTCTATTAAGGCTCGGAGTCAGATAGTGAGGGGAAAGTGAAGAAGGAAAGATTACCCCTCAATCCTTCCACTAGCAACCGTCAATAACAACAACTTGGCCGAGTCTGAGAGTGATACAGAGGGGGAGGAATAATAAAGGTGCAGAGCAGGTAACCGAGAAGGAGGAGAATAACCTGTCGAGCTCTCATGCACGCATCCGTCGGTCAAGCCCAATCGCTGATTAGGTCGTTTGAAATGGGATGAGTTCGGTGCGCAAAAGGATCCCGAGCACAGGACCAGTCGCGGAAGAGTATCCATATTCATGCACGTCTTCAGTCCGCTCAATCCAGACGAGATATCTGGGGGATGGTCGGACGATGTTGATTGTTATCACGGAAATGAACGAGTGCGTGAAATTCCGTACATCAGACCGCAGGGTGATGCTTGATTGCTGGTGCAAGCCGTTGTGCTGCTGGAGGGAAGTGATTGGATTCTGCTTGTTGCTCTTGCATACTCTTCCACCACCCCTACGACTATTGTGATGCATGCAACCGCGATCTGAGCGGGGTCTAATGCAGCAAAAAGGGATGAAGGACTGCGGGAGGATGTTGAGTCTGAAGGGACAATCCTACGATATGTCAATAGCAAAGGTATGTTGAGATGGAGTGAAGCCTCCCGAGGCCAATTGAATAGCCTCGTCGGGCTCGTGTTGCTTGTTCTCGTGGAGGTTAGGTAGACAATTCGTCGATCGCATAAGGGGTTTGTGAGACCTGTAGGGGTTCTCCTACTCCATGTCAGCATTCGGGGTCATTGGAGATATTGAGAGACCAGTCCATCTCCGTGATAAGATTCGCCGCTCGACTTCGGATACTGACATTGTGTGCTTCGTGTTTTCCTTATTCTTCTCGTTCAAGCAGGGCGCTGAGTGTGAATGCCAGAAAGTTGAGTGGTTGACTACCGTTTGAGAACGTTGCTGATCGGCATGATTGATCAGCGCCCTACGCGCGTTAGAAGGTTCGGCAATCGCGCCATTGCGAAGCCGTCGCGGGAGGTGAGACGTGGCGAGATGGATTGACAGTGGTGTACGTGGTGCATGGCTTGCGTGGTGCTAAGAGCCAAGTCTAAAACCTCGACAGCAATTGGCGTTGTGATCGGCGTGTCGCACATCGAGACCGGCGCTCCTCCGCCAAGCGGAATTCCCATCCTGAGCAACGGGACGACTTGCTCATGGGCATCACCGGGCCTGGCCCCGCTGGAGAACGGCCGGGTGGGGATCACTCTCCGTCCGTGTCTTCCTCCGTCGGGGACCCTTCCGCTCGACCCCGGAGACCCTTGGGAAGACGAGTTCAATTGCCCCCCACCGCGGAAGATGCCGAATGACTTCATCCGAATGCATGACAAGCAGTCTGAACTATGCGTATGCAGTCCCCGCGGTGGATCGAAAGGGTAAAAAAGTCCTTGCTTTGTACCCGACGGGCCCGAATCCGAACTCTCTTACTCTCTTCTTCCACCCTTCTGCCTCTGTCTCTGTGTCTGGGAGAGGAGGGTGAATGGAGTGATTGACATCACCGCTGTGGCTGAGGGCCGTTACTCGCCTTCACTGTCGAATAAGGCCACTTTGGGGTCCAGACCTGTTTCGGACGATTATTTTTGGCCCAACGCGTGACGTGCATCTCGTGATGCGAAAACCCAATTGTCGAATCGAAGGCGTCACGCAACTTCTAGAGGCGAATGATGCGGGAATTACTGCTTCCTCTCTCGTCTTCGTTGTAGGCAGAAACGCGTCGAAGCACTCGTGGCTCTTGACGACGGCCGCCGCTGTATGCCACGCGTTGCTCGGATGGTTGGTCCATCAGCGTCGCTGACGTTGCTCTCATGCTATACCGACGTAGTCAGCGAATACGATAACCGGCAAGTCCCGTTCAAGACTATTGTTTTCCTTCACCGAGACTATTGTCGTCCATCGCCAACACACTGCATTGGCGTTGAGTCAAAATGGTCAAACCGAAAGTCTTCAGTAATGATCTCACACTTGCAGGTAGTGCCGCACCGCCGATCAAGCATGCACCGTCACGAAGACAACGACCAAGGCTCTCCACGAACCTAATGCGTATATTCCCCGCCGAATCGCGTGCAGTTGCTGCACTTGCAGTACTTCCAAGACTTGCATCGCCCACGGGACATGCAGGTTTTTCGATGGTGAGTTTGACCATGGGCAAAGGTCATGGCGGTAAGTTGACAGGTCCACCTTGACGTCCATCATCTTGTTCGGACAGCAGCAGCATCCTTCGGTCCCGGAGTGCGTGGCCCGGGCGGGTTTGCCAACGGCAAGATCTTCATCGCAACGACTGTCTATGCTTTCGATACTGTCGATCACGCGGCACCGGGACGCCGACATGCTCCACCCGCAGCCTCTCCCGCTGCGGTACAGATTTGAGGTGAACACAGCCAGGTCCTCAAGACGCCACCCGGGGGTTGTCAGCAGACGAAGGGTCCTCCACGGCCGAAACTCGAGTACAAGGCTGAGCCGTTATCATTCGAGCGATCGGTCGCCGCCACCGGTCATCAAACAGCACTGCCCCGGTATGGTTAGACACTGAAGAAAACGAGAGAAGGGCATCGATATCACTGGAAGCACCTGTCGCTCAGATGTGGTTGAGCAAGGCTGAGCAACTTGTGAATCGGAGACGAAGTCGAAGCGAAGAAGCAAAGACGAATAAACAGCCGACATTCGAAAGAACCGCCGTAGCACAGGAACATCTTCGAAGCAGCTTTGCCCTGTCACCTCCGCCGCTGTTCGCTCGAGGCAATTGCAATGCTTCCGACCCGTGACTTATGGAATGACCATAGCAGAGGACAAGTTGGTAATCCTGAGTGTCGTCCGTTTATTGTTTTGTCGTGTTGTTGATGTTGGGAATCGTCACTTGCCGAAATGGATGGAAATTGGAAGCCTTGGCAATTAGATAACAGATAAGGGAATGATAAGATACCTGAGCGATAGGTAAGGTGAATTTCTCGTGTGATTACATAAGGCATTCGAGAAATGGCAGGTGGGCGATACAGCGGCTGGCTGGTGGTCTGTGCATCCAGATCTCGAGGGGATCTGATCTTTGCTTGGCCCCGGTCCAGCCGGCCTCTTTTTTGATTGGCTGTATCAGAGAGGCGGGTCGATGCAACACCAGCGGAATATGCACGTGACGGGAGGCTTGGTCCAGATCATGGTCCACGGCCATCGGCCCTGGCCTTTTCCCTGCATGTTTGGAAGTACCTACCTTACCTTATCCTCACTCGGTGCATGTCCTGGGACTGTGGCAGGAGTCTACTCCGAACAGCATTTGTTCATTGTTGCGCTCCTATTATTTCCCTCATTGTCGCCGTTGCCTAGGTTGCCTTTGAGCTGCAAGGTACGAGTCACGGAGATGCTCTACAGCTACCCGTACTCGTATCATTTGTGAGGCTTGCAGTGAACTCGGCGAGGCGACGGCCCCACGAGCAGATCTTTGTGCTTTTGCAGTTTGGCTAGTCCGGAGTCTTTTCCGCCCATTGTCCAATCAGATGCCATCGGAAACAGCGCCGTCGAGTAGTCGCCCAAAGTGTCAGCGCCGGCATCGCGGGGCCCTTCTTTGGAGTACCTAAGGTACGGAGTACTGTTACAGTAGTACTGAACAAAGCCCGCCGCCCATCATGTGCCCAGTAGTAAATTCTAACATTCCTGTTGGCGGCTGGCTGCATGCATGGCTGTTTCCTGTCTTTATCTCCGTTTGTTACGGTACGTTTCTTTTTATGCATAAGGGTCTCTACGAGCACAGCAGGCTCTCACAGACGCATGTACCGCATACAACCATATTTCTGAACATGCATCAAAGCAATTCCAGTACCTCGTTCCTTTTTGCAGCTCGTAACCACGTCTTTGCAGAAAAAGTAGTGTCTGAAGCCGAGGAGAATTCCACTTTGAGTGTATATAGCTCAGAGATGATCCAATTCCAGAGGTATTTTAAATCAAACCCCGCCCCTAGACCGGATGTGGCCAGGGTGTATTGACTTAGCCTATGAGGTACGACAGAACGAAGGGCCTAGGCCTAGGTCTACAGAGCGTGTCACAAGGGGGAGTGCTGGTGCAAGAAGGTAGAGGGACGGGTAACGTAGGGAGGGTTATTGGAAAACGTAGATGCTGCATGCTGCCACTACCATGGGGGAAAGATAAGACCGATCGTGAAATGACGAAAGGACGGTAACAAGTCAAAACAAAGAGAACAAGAGAAAAAAAAAAGCAGGATCGAGAGACGATGGCTTTTGCCGATGGACAACTGTGGAGTGTCTTCCGGAGTGACGTATGTGACGCCATTAAATCGGGCCAAAGTGGCAACTCGGTGAGGTGCGCATCGAAATTCTGAAATCTCGATATCGACAAGCTTAAGTAAGGTAAGGAAACCAGCAGCAGGATGGCTATTCCCGGTACCCATCAGATCCAGCAAACACTGTGCTGCAGCACTGTTGACGCAGGGCATTGGGGTGTGGATGCTGGATGGCACTATGCCAATTTCGGTCCGACTTTTTGCGAATTCCAGTGTGGTCATCTGAAATTTCCATTGGGACCAGATGCCAAAGGCCAAGGTTTCGCACAGATACTTCCCGGGGTCTTCGCACTGTATGTCAAAGCCAATGAGAGAGCCAGAATAGCACCCCAATGCGGAGCAGGCTCCACCATGGGTCTGGACCTGGCCCAGTGGCCTTGTTAATCGCTCACCTCAACCTTCCTTCTCCGCTCGCCTGGCGGCCCATGTTGTGCTTGCTTGCTGCTCTGGCAGGAGCATTCTGCTCGTGTCTTGCGTGCCTGCTCTCTACCTACTCTATCCGTACTCAGCTCCTTCCGTCGTCCAGTCTCTGAGGTCAACCGCTTACCTCACCCATCCAGCGTCAATCGCCACCAGAAACTTGGCCCCAGCAATTTGCCGATTCCAGTCCTTGTGCTTTTTGCTTTGGTTCCATTCCATGATTGACTTCCTCTGCCAACCTCTTCCCACAATCTTGAACCGGGGGAGATCGATCTGCGGCGACTTCTTCCTGCGCCTTGCCTTGGGTGATTCGCCTGGCTTCGCCTCCCTTCCTCACCTCAAGCGAACCTCCCGCATCACTCGAGCCAGCCCTCTTCGGCATCCGACCTGAGCCCCCCCGCCCTAAGGTAGCCCAGCCCAACCGAGAGAGAGAAAGAGAGAGTGCGCGACCTGAACGATACATCATTTTCAACGTCCAGCGCATCGTCATTTCCATCGCAATCTACACGTTTGCCATCTTCTCATTTGCTATATTCCTTTCCACTATTCCGTACTCCTCCCACCTCCCCCGCCATGGTCTAGACAAACTGCGACATTTGCGACGTTCCCCCCCCAACAAGCAATCATCTGCGGTGACGGCTGCTTGCCTGTGAGTGTATCCCTATCTTCATTCCCATTCTCCCAACCTTGGTATACCTGCTTGTTCCCATTCCTTCACCTTTTCCCACTGTTCCCTTGCTCTGGCCTTGGCAATCCTCTGTGCCCCTCTATCAGCCTTACCTACCATGTATTGTGCTTTACACACCTCTTGTACTATTGCCTCCTCCAGCCGCCTGTCTTGAGCAACTCACGTTATGCCTGGTGACGCAAGGATGCATGCCCACGAAGTCCTTCTTGAGCCAGCCCATCGTGGGAAGAGGGAGGAGGGGCACTGTGTGTATTTTCAACCTCATTCCCCCCACTTGCGTCCGGTTGGTCTAGATGGTCTTCCTTCCCCCCTGCCTTCCTCGATAGCCACAGACAAGTGCATCTCGGTCGCAAAATTTTCCGCCATGATTCATTTCTCAAAATTATTCTTGGTCGCGCAAATAGTAGCTTAAGTTGACATGAACACTGTAGGTCAATACTATCTCGCCCGCGGATATCAAGGCGTGCTTCGACCCCCATTGTGCAACCAAGTAGAACCGACAGAGGAGCGGCCGGTCTCTCGTGACATAAAATTCACGCTGCCCGGCCATGGTTAACACTCCGCCGGCCAAGGCCGTCTCTGAGAGTCGCCGCGAGAGGGAGACATTCAGGTCCGCGCCCCAAAGTGCTTCTCCATCTGCCTCGACGGCTTCTCGTCAATGCAGGCTTCGCGTATCTTTAGTAGTAAATTTCCTGACCGCCTCCGCAGATATGACAGCTCCTTGATCGCACATACAGTCTACAACGACCCAAACAATCTCAAGCCATCCTCGGAACTTCGGTCATGTCCCGATGCGGCACTCACTTCCTTCGCTGAACTCGGCGCTCTACGCCTAAATGCCACCCGGGCCATGATATCCCTCTTCGACAGCAAGTATCAGTACGTCGTTGCTGAAGCTACGCAGTCACTCGCCCTGACTCCCAACACCAACCCCCCCGAAACCCAGCGCGGGGATATCGACCAGCTGCTACTGTGCGGCACTGCTATCCCACGATCGTCCGGCATATGCGAGCTCATCCTCTCAATCTCCGATCACCTCGACGAAAAACATCCTTCGGGTCCCCATCAGCTGCCTGTTACCGTTATTCCGGACCTTTCTGAAGATCCTAGGACCTCCCAGCGAGCCTTCTGTCTCAATACGCCGCAATGTCGCTTCTATGCCGGAGTTCCAATCCGTTCACAAAGCGGTATACACATTGGTGTCTTTAGCATCTACGGAGATACCCCGCGCAAAAGCTTTGACAATGTGGAAAATCAACTTATGCAGGATATTTCGAAAGTGATCCTGAACTACCTCGACGCAAAACGGAACAGGGACGATCACCGACGCGCAGACAGGATGGTTCGCGGCGTAGGCAGCTTCATCGAGGGCAAGAGCACCATGTCGGGATGGAGGGACAGGAATAATATTGACTCGTTCGATGACCACCCGTTTTTTGAGGGAGCTCTGAACAAGAACCAGCAAAAGATCGAACGCCAGAGAGAGATGGTGGCATTCCAGGCTTTTCAAGCACAGCAAAACCAGTCGTCTGCTGTTGCGATGCAGAATGTGCCGCAGCCGAAAGCTCAAGGGTCGGAGGATCGGCCGGTTTCGCCTACAACTGCTCCTCGACCTTCCCCTTCACCAAACCAAGATCCGAAGGCACTGCCATCTGTATCTGGGACCTCCTTGGATAGTATTCGTTCCGGGTCAGAAAGCATTTCCCAGGGAGACGGTGACTCGCACATGTCACATATTCGGCACGTTTTCTCAAAGGCCGCCAACATTGTTCGGGAAGCTATAGAAGTTGAGAGCGTGCTTTTCGTGGACGCCAGCATCGGCTCGTTTGGAGGGCTTGCTGGCCCTAGAGGGACTAACATGAGGTCTTCCAGAGGCCGCGGCTCATCCTCCTCCTCTAGCGACGAGCAAATAAGCCCGGGCATAGGTGTTGGAAGTGTACTGGGCAGCGATAGCGACCAAGAGGGCAGCCTTTGTGCGGTCCTCGGCTTCTCGAGTTCATCAATCTCAAGCGTCGATGGAGACATACCGTCTCTGAGTCACACCTCGGTATCTGAAAAGTTCCTCGCAAAACTGTTACGAAGATATCCGGAGGGCAAAATTTTCAACTTCGACGAGAACGGCTCTATTCAATCTAGCGACCATTCCGGCGACGATCACACTGTACAGCAAGAAACACCACTTCAGGAAATAGCAGACTTCATCAAGGCCCCAGCCGAGGACGAACGGCAACGAACTAAGAAACGGAAGCAAGCTTACTCGAGACGGAACGAAGGGAAAACACTCAGCGGCCTATTTTCAGGAACACGAAGCATGGCCATCATACCTCTGTGGGACGTACAAAAGCAACGCTGGTACGCTGGCGGGTTCGCATGCACCAAGACCCCGACTCGCGTCCTTACCATCGAAGGCGAGCTCAGCTACTTACGCGCCTTTGCATCAGTCGTCATGTCAGAGGTCGATCACGTCAGCTCGATGCTTGTTGACAAGGCGAAGACGGACCTGTTATCCTCGCTATCTCACGAGCTGCGGTCGCCGTTGCATGGTATCATTCTTGGCGCGGAGCTGATGCACGATACCACTATGGACGCTTTCCAGGGAGAGACGCTAGTTTCGATCGAAAATTGTGGCCGCACGCTGCTGGAAACCATCGACCACCTCCTGGACTGGAGCAAGATCAACAACTTCATCGGGCCTTCAAAGCATAGAAGAAATTCGGCCGCATTTGGTGAGCGAGGCTTGAGAGCTCGTGATCAGAAAATTAGTATCGAAGCTGGCATGATGAGCATCACATCAAATGTCGAAGTCGATGTCCTGTCTGAAGAGGTTGTCGAGAGCGTCTGTGCTGGCTTCAGTTACCAACGCGTCTCTGTGGCTCAACTTGCAGGCAACAGACCGACGGAGCACGCCGACACTACGGCGTTGCGCAGACTTGACAGTATGCAAGCAATGGAGGAAATGGCGACTCGAACCAATAGACTCGGGGACTTGCAACTCGTCCTCGGCGACGTATCCATTACCTTCGACATTTCGCCCGCGATTTCTTGGGGTTTCCATACACAGCCTGGAGCTTTGAGGCGAGTCATCATGAATCTCCTAGGGAACTCGCTCAAATACACCGACAAGGGATTCGTCAACGTCAATGTAAACCAGCTGGCCCCGACGACCGATGCACCGCCCAGAAAGGCCATCATTCAGATCGATGTCGTAGATTCCGGACGCGGCATTAGTCAGGAATACCTACAGCATCATCTATTCGCGCCTTTCGCTCAGGAGGACTCTTTTGCTGCCGGGGCTGGTCTTGGTCTGAGCTTGGTCAAGCAGATAGTCAACAAGCTGCGCGGGTCTATCCAGGTATGGAGTAAGGTCGGACGAGGAACGAAAGTGAGGGTTCAACTTCCCCTACTGTGCGCCAATCCGGCATCACCAACGGTGGCCAACGCGGAACATGGCAGCATTGACGCCTTCCGGGCATCTGTCAGCGAACTCATGGGTCTAAGAGTCAAACTGATAGGATTCCCTGAGGACTACGGAGTCAAAATGCCCGACGAGTTGGCCAGCAACACCTCCAGCGAAGGAGCATTGATCACCAATCTGTGCAGGGAATGGCTTCAGATGCAAATCATTGACCAGTCCATCCCGGCCTCGCAACAACTCCTTCCCGACTTGGTTCTGTCAACAGAAAAGCAACTGGAGCAGCTTTTAATGGAGCGCCGCCTGGGCATCATTAACACACCGGTAGTGGTGGTATGCCGGAACGCGCTTATTGCGCGCCAACTAGCTACCTCGGCACGATTCACCGGCAATCGCATCATATTTGAGTTCATCTCACAGCCGTAAGTTTGTACGTTCCGAATCAGCGATGAGCTTCAACTAACAGTTCGTCTACAAGGATTGGTCCGAGGAAACTTGCCAAGGTGCTTTTGCTGAGCTTCAAAAGATGGACGAAAATGCAAGAACGGGCGATACCAACTCCTACAATGTTATCCTTGGCCAGCCCAGAAGCGTCCAACGCGGGTGGCGACACGCCGACTGGGCGAGCACAAGACAGACTTACGGACGTGGGAAGCACCGAGGCCCTTCCAGAATTTCCGACTGGAGAGGATCTTCCCGAGAGGTTGGAGGAGTTGCCAAATACCGAAGTCGAAGCAAAGCAGAGTGTGGATGACCAAGTTGTGAAGGCGACGGATACTGAGCCGAGGCCTGAGGATATCGCCCTACCAAACACGCCGGAGGAACATCCCAAGAGACCAACGCTCGAGGGCCAAGACACCCCTCGGCTGTCCCATAGACCAAAGAAGGCTAGAGGAGATCGTCCCAAGTTTCTCCTGGTGGATGACAACCCTCTCAACCTCAAGATGTTGGCGACGTATATGACGAGGCTTGGACACGACTATCGAAACGCGAAAGACGGGCAAGAAGCGTTGGACGAGTTCCGTTTAGCACCGGGCGAGTACCACTGTGTTCTGATGGACATCTCGATGCCTGTAATGGACGGTTTCGAGGCGACACGACGGATCCGTGCTATAGAGACAAAGGACAGCTTGTCACGCTGTCTGATTATCGCGCTTACGGGATTGGCATCTGCCAATGCACAGCAAGAAGCGTTTGCGAGCGGCATTGATTTATTCTTGACGAAACCAGTGCGGCTGAAGGAGCTGAGTAGAATATTAGAGAGCAGGGGTATAGTATAACATGATGAGCAATGAGCGACGGAGAAAAGCGATGGGGTTTCGCGCGGGTCATACTCGCTTAGCGGGAGTTGGGAAGGGACCGCCATGGCGGTTAGGAAAAGACTTTTGTGGAAATGTCAAACAATCGTATGGATTACATGAGATACCCCAGTGGCTGGAATGCATCACTGCAATGACCCGGCTAGAGTTACTAGACTTTGTTGGGCGAGCATCGCTGGCTACACGATTCGATGCGCATCAGCAGTATAGCAATAGACGAACATGATGATAGATGGCCCTTAGGGCACCCCGACTCCGCTCTCTTTCTTCCTCGGGCCTTTGAGGAGGACACAAGATACACTTTGTCTTGGTCCGATATGGGTTGTCGCTAACAGCTTAGATAGTTTTCTTTGATCTTTTGGGGCTTGATCCCCAGTGTTCGATATTGTTTGTCTACCGCCACAATGGCAATGTGTCCTGTGCTGTAAGTTGGGTTGGTTTGAGATGGGATACATAAGCCAGAACTTTCCACGATACCGACGACTATCACCTTCGATAAGCCACACAGCAAGAAACTTCAACAAACCGGTAACCAGACACTCCCTCTACAGATTCAGATAACCCCCAAGAGCTTGACCAACAAGAGAACAAACTGACGAGATGGATACCACCAGCAGCACACCCACCCCATCCACGACCTCAACCACAACATCCACCCTCGCCGAGCCAGGCTTCTTCCACGACACGCTCCCATCCACCGAGCTCCCCAAGAACATCTTCGTCCTCAAGGACTGGTACTTTACCCGCTGCCGCACCCTCAACGACGCAAAAGCCCTGCTGGGCGTCTACAACACCCTCGTCCTCGACCTCGGCGTCACCACCCACGAGCTCTACAAGTGGAAAGTCAACAAATCCCTCGGCTACCGCATCGCGCACCTCATGCTCGAGACCGCCTTCGCCGAGGACAAGATCTCAAAGGAGCGGCGGAAGTGGGTGAAGCAGCACAAGCACGTCTGGTGCGGCGAGATTCAGAACTACGACGTGCCCGTTTTCGAGTTCACCGAGGACGACCGGGCGTTTCTGCGGGGGAGGTGGCCGCAGGCGTGGGAACGGTATAGCGTTGCGCAGATTGAGTGGGCGATGGAGGTTGAGCTGGAGCAGGCGAGGCGGTTTCTGCCGCGGAAGCATGAGCGGAGCGTGAGGAAGGAGAATTGGCGGTGGTTGTTTGGGGAGGAGAGGTGGGTTAGGAAGATTGCGTTTTTGGCGTTTGATGCTGAGGGGGTTGATGGTGAGGTTCGGTGGAAGGAGTGAGGTTTTGGCTTTTGAGGGAGGTTGCTTGTGAGGTTGTTTGTGGGTTGGTTTGGTATTGCTTGTTTGGAGTAGGAGTTTGGGAACGGTATTTCATGAAGAGAATCTCAATGACTTGTGTAGCCCTTGCAAAGAGTCAGATAGAGTGATGTAGATATGTTACATCTATTTCCTTATAACGCGTTGGACGCTTGTTCTCCTATGGTCTTGAATGTTCAGAGTGGAGGGGTATTCTGGGCCGCGTTCAAGGATTCGATGAACAGAGTCTGAACGTCGTGAGCAGCACTTCGTCACATGTTCTAGTTGTTAGATGGGTACTCAGGATGTCTTTCAGCATACCCCTACATACGAGGTAAGCCACCGCCCATTCGCACTCCTCTTCACTTCCATCGTATTCCAGGACAGTATTCGCATGGAAAGATAGTTAACAGGGACGAGGAGTATTCATGAAGTCACGGGGTGGGGGCCCACTCCGGGCTGATCTTCACATACCTGCTGGCATATAAAAGCCCGGTCGATTGAAGCTGAGGTGAAGCTTCCGGATACTCCAAACCGATCTGATCGTCTGAGGTGAGTATTTCATTCCCGTCCGCTTCCACAAAAAGATCATTTAAGGCCCTCCCCAAGTAAATCCCTTCCATCAATCCATTGCTTTCGCATCCTTTTTACTACACATCCTCATTCTGGCGATTTCCCTTGCAAATTCCCAACAATTACCACTTGTCCTCACCTTTCCTGTATCAACAAAGACTGACAAAGATGGCCTCCAAGGAAAACAACGCCACCACCGTCCTCGAGACAATCCCCGAGGAGCCTGCCCCCAAGCGCACCACCCGAAAGAAACTCCCAGACTCGAGACCCTCGAAGCCCTCTGCCGAGGACCCCTCCCCCGAGAAGAAGAAGCCGGCCGCCCGCAAGGCCGCCCCCAAGAAGACCACCGCCGCCACCGGCCGCAAGCCCAAGCCGGCCTGCAAGAAGCCCATCATGGGACCCGGCCGCCCCAAGGGAAGCAAGAACAAGGCGGTCAAGAAGAACAAGCCCCCCGCGAAGCGCAACAAGAACGCCAAGCGCACCACCGCCCACGACCTCCTCACCGCCATCCAGGACGACGAGATCCCCACCAACGCGCAGGTCAAGGCCGACTATGGCTTCTCGCGCTGCTACATCACCCTCGACCAGAGCAAGCTCTACAACGTCTACCGTACCGTCCTCGAGGACTTTGAGGTCAAGCCCGAGGAGCTCCACGAGTGGCTCCACCACGAGGATGGTCTGAAGAATGTGGCTGCGGAGATCAAGGCCAAGTTTGAGGCGTTGCTTGGTCCGGAGGATTACCAGGGCGATTATAAGTGGTTCCTTGAGAACCAGTATATCTGGGACCCGGAGGATCTCGTAAGCGAGGCGAAGGCTGCGCGCGCTGCGAAGGAGTTGAAGGAGTACTATGATGCTCGCAAGCGACCTGGTGACAACTTTGATTGGTACTCCTGAGTGCTCGACGAGACTGGCAAGATGATTCCCTTGATATGATGAGGGAAATTGCTCGACATTAGCATGATGAAGCCTACACAGATGCGAGTACAATGCCCTCCCCCATCGATAAGAGCTCGAGCTGACCATCGCAGTGCCTTTTGCTACCTAATCGGACGAACCCTACACCATCGGCACCTTACTCTATGCGATACCCTCGGCTGCTTGCTTCGATATGGCGTATTGAGCTTGAAAACAGGAGTGTAATGGCTGGGTTCGGATGCGGCAGGTCTTGCCATAGAATTGTGCTTGGAGAAGGGGAATCGGTCGCCTTGGTAGTACAGCAACAATAGACATTGAGATGTTGTGAACAGAGATGACCATGGCTTGAGATCGATTCCCTTTTGCAATATTTGACGTGATCACGATGGTCCTACTAGGTACAAAATACTTTGTTGACAACGGAAGGCGCCTAAGTAAAAGCTCGCTCCTTCCTCTCCTGTCTTGCTCCCGGATGTCAGTCTTGAGGAAGGCAGTCGAGATGGGCTCCTTCCCAAGGTTGACGTTGGCAGCTTCACTTACATAAGCCCCCACCATGCGAGTCCCTCCTTCACCTTCCCCCATCAACTTCATCGCCAGTTTACCTAGGTATACCACCACGATTCCGCGAGCAACAATTGCCAATTGACAAGGCCGTCATATTCATAACCTACAATCGAATGTAATCGCTTGGTAGCACATCAGGATTTGGCGTCGGCCTGAATAAGCATAGCATCGACCCCCACCGCGTCCTACGCACTGTGCCGCCCCTCCTTGCCACTCCATCAAACACTCTCTCGAGGGCGATCAACCTCGACGCGAAACAACATTCGCTATACCATCATGATAGAGGCGCAAGCCTCCGACGCGTTCATGGTTAATACACTGCTCCCCGCTCACCCCACGTCAAAGATAGTTCCCACCCCGCGATGGTCGGCAACAAGCACAACATAGCTGTAAGTCAAGGCATATCGGTGGAATCAACGCGGTATCAACTCGTTACGCAGGTCCATGTAATCGCCCAAAAATGCCTGGGTCCGTTCTTCCATTTCACCGCTTCATCCAATTCTTCCGCGTCGATCGATACCACATGTCGGCAATCTTCTGCCGCCATTCCCAGCTAGAGTACAACTCCCTCCAATTATCAGGTTCAAGGCGCCGCTCGAACGTCAAAGACGGCTCTTCCTCCTCCGGACCCAACAACCACTTCTCCAGAAAGCCCTTCGGCTTCGTCGCGGCCCGCACGCGCGCCAACGACCTAGCACTCTCAAGCTCCCACTCCATCGCAGACTCGACCTCAAGGGTACGCATCCCAGCCCACTCGGGAGAAGCTTCTCTGATGTATTGGGCGTGATGTAGCGCTGTATGTGATGTGTTCTTGGTACCAATACGTAGTTATGTGGGCTTGTACTGGATGGTGATCTTTACTAATTGAGGACGCGATGGAGCACTTACATAGATTCTTGAGGCGGAAGCTTTTTCAGGGCAACAAGTGCCTTCACGCCTTGTCCCATGCAAGATCTCAATCAATTCATTGTCAATCAGAATAGCTACTTCGTCCCTCATTGGTACAAACGCCGCTGGCTTTGATGGTCCAAGACACACAGTGACTATCTAGCAAAGAGCCAGCAGAGGAATAAGGACTGTTGTGACTGAATGATATTGTTGATTTGTTTTCGACGGGCAACTCTCAAAGATTACCTAAACTGTCACAAGCCTCCTTTGCTGAGGCCGAGGCACAATTCTCTGTATCTCAATCAACCGCAAGCCAATGTACGCCCATGTCACCATCTCTCATGCCGACTCATCAACTGCATCTTTCTGCCATGTCGAATTACTTGCGGGGGAAGACGTGGACTTTCTGTGCAGCACGCAGAAATCAGTAACAAGGCGGAAAGAGAAGGCAGGGAATGGAAAGACTTACCACACCAGGCATATTCTGCATAGCGCGGGCGATCTCGCCAAGGGGCACGCCATTGAAGCCATCGGGGCAGAAGATGGCATGGCCGGCCGCGGGAGGTCCATTCGGATCCACGTTGGGCACAGAGCTGAAGCGCGTGCCGCGGACGGTGCGGACATACTCGCCCTTGGCCTCGAGCGCCTCCTTCTTGTGGCGGAGACGGGTCTGACCCTCCATGAAGACGGGAATGCGAGCCATGTATCCATCGTCGTCAGCGGGACCGGCGAGGGCACCCATGATCTCTTCGGCGTGGGCGGCGAGCTCCGCGTCGACGTCGTTGGGGTTCCAGATGTACTGGTTGTAGTCGAACCAGGTGATGATTCCGGCTGAGGTCTTGTTCTGATTGAGTTTGGAGAAGGCAGTACTGATGTGCTTGCCGAGCTCGAGGTCACCCTCAGCGGCCCAGGCCTGGAGCTGGGCGGGGGGGATGGCCGGTTCCATGCCTTCCATCAGGAGGCCATAGACAGAGAGGAGCTTCTCCTGGCCCTTGGTGGTGATACAGCGGTCGAAGAAGAAGTCCTTGAGGGTCTGTGGGTCGGTCGGAAGTCTTCTCTCGACGATGTTCTTGAGTAGGATCTCGGCGGTGGGCTGGTGGGGGTTGACTTCGGCCATGGTGTTGTTGGTGTTTGGGGTTGTTTGCTGTCAATTGAATAGTCAGCAATGGAATAGCAAGTCAATGTTGAGCAAAGGGGAGAGCGAACCTTTTCTAGTGTGCAACTTTTGTAATGATGGCAGATGCTAAGAGAGTTGAAGTTGGGGATGAGTGGATGGAAAGAACGGAAAGAGGTAATTATTCAATCTGAGAGGGAGAGGATTGGAGGTAATAGTTCTTGAGTCTCCCAGATGAAGCTTGTTGAGAGACCAAGAAGTTCTTTGAGGTCAAACGGACAGCATGAATCCCATGACCCTTTCTTATCACCTCAACCCTTCTTCTAGCAAACGGATAGATTGAAGGTGTGGGAGTATATGCAGCGAGCCGTTTGTCGCCAGCATTCAGCACAATGGCCCCGTAGGCAGCAAATTAGAGAGTTGAGTGCGGGAAGCCTGCAGATGCAATCAGAAACGAGAGGTATAGATGATTGAGCTTCTTTAGACTGATCTTTGTTAGTGCCTTCTCTTTGGAGAGCTGCCTGATGTTGACTTTGGAAGACGTGCACGAAACCTGCGTACGGGGAACTTGATCACTGTGGGAAGGCTCTAACATTTGTTTGCTATTCCTAATTACTCGAGGTCTGTCCCTCGAAGTAAACATGCCGATAAATCTTGTACCTGTAGGCCTGGGTGCTTCTCACAGATCTCTTCCGTGGGTATTTTGTTCGTGAGACTGATATGATTTGCGTTATCCTGACGCAAGGTCATCACTTGAGGGATCTTCGCTCGAGGAATCAATACCTGGGAATTCGTCGTTATTCGAGGGGTTACCGCTTGTATCATCGACGCTCAAGGTGTTGCTCGAGGCCCCATCCATTGCTTGATCTTCTTCTTCCACCGGACGTGTTGCTTCTCGTACGCGGGCTGCCATGTAGTCAACAGTGTGCCCAGTCCACCCACTTCCTCGATCTCGGTCCCAGCCATGCATGATCTGACAGAAGACCCGCGACATTGTGGCGCACTCCCGGACGAGATCGGTATGGACTGTCATAGCATATCCTAGTCTGCTGTCCTCAGGTATGATGACCCAGATGTTATGGCGAAACCACCAGATGTATACATCTTTCGTCAAAAGGTGAACCTGGGCGAAATACTGCTTGATCATCTCGGCGAGTAGTGACTTGCCCCTGCAATCATCCATCCCTAGATAACGACGCTGTCGAGGTCGAAGAAACAACCAAGGCACTTGTATGTCGCCCAAAGGAGGCGTTCCTCTTGGTTATTGCCATATTGGCAAAGATCGAACCCGAAGTCTTGTCGTGTTTGCGGATCAGTGGGAGGCTCGCAGGTACCGGCTCGAAGGGACTCGGCGAGGTAATGGTGGGTATTCAGTCGTTTGTTCTGCACGGGGCAGAGAGCCATGTAGTTGGCGGCATCAATATTGTGGGCTTTTGCCCTCTGACACTTGGTACTGCAGAACCAGTTGGATCGACAATCGTTGCAGTGGTGCGCGAGTGTGGGTTCTTTGCAGTATAAGCACCGCCGGTTGCCAGAATGGACAGGACTTTGTGTTGGTTCCACTGCCGTTCGTGTTATTCGTTCGGACTCGAGACTGGCGAGGTGGGATAGGATAAAGAGAGACATCGTTATCGAATGTTGAATCCAATAGATAGTATGGTATGGTATTGATTCGATGTCGTTCGCAAGCAAGGACTCATCGTAGGAGAGGTTCGTTAAGGTCAATGACTCGAAATAGGGGTAGATGGACGACCTGTAGAGGAAGGAAGGAACGCGTCAGCAACGAATGCAAGAAAGAAAGGAAGGAGGGAGGTCGACTGGGTTGCTACAGCCATGATTGTACCTGGCGGGAACCTTCGACGAGGCCGCGAGGAAGGACTGGACATCTCTGGTCCTTCCCTAATGCTATGCCTACCGTTCCTGCCTCCCGAAATCGTGAGCCTCCTCACGTGATCGAAACACATCGTGTCTTTGGTCAATGACTGGGAACTGGCTACGAACTGTACGCCGTGCCATCAGCTCTCCCGCGGGCAACGGTACAAACTGGACTTCAGGTCATCCATCATGCGGAGCATTATCTTCTCACACTCCCCGATGGCCTGGGAAGTGGGCTGGTCCTGTCGCCCAGTTGATCCAGACGCAGCACAGCAAGACGGTATGCCTCACCTCGAACGGTGCCGCCTTACTCGGGCATCACTGGAGGCCACAAGCAGGCCGACCGGGAAACAGAGGCATTCGACAGCCTGAACAGTCGCCTGAAACTTTGGCTATACATTTTCACAACATCAGAGCTCAAGGGGAAGGCCTCAGATTTGGCCACTACTGTCTACAGTTAAATTACGGAATCCCTCCATTCAACCGCCACCCGCGGGCAGCAGAGACACGGCGCCGAAACGGACATCACCGCCTCGCCCTGATCTTTGGCAACGAGGTTGACTGTACGCGTTGCCAAATAATTATTCGCCTTCGGAATTGACCGCAGATCGAGAAGTGAAAAAGCGATGCAAATTCCCATCCTCTGTGATACTCAGCCGGTGGCGATAGATGCACATCGAGTTCTCGGGCGACGGATCGAAAACTCTACGTTTCCCATATCTCCAATATGGCAACATGCAAGTTACGGATACAGAAATGTCCGTTTTCGATCAACGTTGCGCCCTTGCAGCTGCCACGTTCTGCATGGGTTCGGAATTCGTCCAATCAATTCTTTGGCTTCACCTCAGTCTAGTTCCACAAAACCTTCCGTTCAGCATCTGGGCCGCGCCTGCATGCCGTGTTATTGAGTTTGGTGGCTTTCCCACCGTTTTACTTCACAAAACTGGGGATTTGACTGCAACGTTGGAGAGAGCGTGGAACCGTAAGCGTAAAGCAAAGTGTAAAACGGAGTATTGGGCGGTCCCGTGCTTTCCCCTCTTTTCAACGCTCGATTTTCCTTTATAAACGAAGAAGGCCCCATCCCTCGTTTTCGATCCCTCTCACGATTCTCGATCTCTACACCATTCTGCCTCCTCCACCCATCGACGTCATCAACAGACTTTCTTCCCATTCCCAAAACTGGCAGCAGCCCCGCTCTTACGTTCACGACAATTGGTCCGTCCGATTTCTTGACGGATTCCAGTCCGTTTCCCAAATCGGCCGAGTCCGTTCCAAAATCCATCTTCCAAAGAGTCAATGGCCCGGACCCCGGCAGATCTTGTCACGCCCGTGCCGGCCCTGATTTGGCGACGCCGTCCCAGCAAGAATGAGTGCAGCAACGCCAACGAACCACTAGCGCCCATGTCCCTGAACCATCTCAAGGCCAGCGAAATCATTCAGAGAGTGCGTTCTGCCTGCCCACCCGATGCGATTGCCAAAACCCGATCTTTAGAATGCGATTTCTGAAGAGGAACAAAAAAGCATGTCCATCATGTGCTGACAAAACCCCTCTTGACTTACACAGGTCCATGGCGATGCAAACAACCTGCTTCGCAATATTCAAGGCTTGCTCCGATACAGCAGAGCACCTGCGCTTGAGGGCGGCCGCCTGGTGACCGGAGTCCTACTTGGCAACCCAAAGCTCCTACACGCGCAGAAGATTTCCCAGCACATTACCGGAGACATGGCGGAGTTGGTGGCCATCTCTCAGAAGTCAAAGGAGACGACCCTGCGAACGAGACGCCCCAGCCACTTGCGCAAGGTCCGCCGCAAACAACATGGGCAAGCCGAGCACGCTGCTGATGCTGCCGGGAACCATCACTCACATGCAGTAAGTTACCGCAAACTCCATCCAATGTTCCTCATCTCTCTCCGGCCAGACGACGTCCGTTTCTTATTCTCATTGCAACATTCGTCTTACCAACCTGGTTCACAATGGAAGCTCGGTAGGGGCTGGCTACACTGAACATTCACTCACGCTGAGAAACAGTTACAGAACATGTCCGATCCCTCCGTCTGCCATAACTGCCACACCACCTGTACACCACAGTGGCGTAGCGGACCCGCGGGGCCGCGCACCCTCTGCAATGTCTGCGGCCTGATTCATGCCATGAGGCAGCGGAAGCAAGGGCTCAGGCACAGCAACCGTGTCTCGGCGTCTTCCTCAATGTCGTTCTCTTCTTGAGCCTGTGCCGGGTCTATTTTACCGCTTTTCATCACTTGTTTGCCATGATTGTTGCGATTATAGTACGGATATCCTCTGTTGCGCTCACGAATACCTTATGATACCACTTTTGTTCCAATCGGATTGGCGTTCATCGATGCTTGCTAGAGTTATGGGACTGCACAACTGGAAGTTTGGATCAATGGGTTTTTGGGTGGCCGAGGGTTAGGGGACCTTGGGTGTCTGGGCTTTGGCTGGGGAGTCTGGGATTGGAGTTTGGTTGTGTGTCCTTCTGTACCCTTCCTAGTCATAAGATTTACTTAGCGGACGGGGGTCCGTCGGCGCGAAAACGTTACTCTCACGGTTGTTCCCAGACAGGTTGCCGGTGTGATGGGATTTCAACGCTAATTGAGGCTTGCCCAGCGTGCGTGATTTCGTGATGGAGTAGAGTGATAGGTATACTGGCCTCTGTTAATGACCTGTTGTTGTTCTTGTTATTGTTATCATCCATATTCGTAATGCCGATAGCTTCAAGACGTTCCTCCCGTGCCTCCTGAACGGTAGGAAGAGCAGTATCTCACTGACCTCAGCGTGCCTACCCCTGACGAAAACTCCGCTCATGCTGTGTGCCACCTCTACATGGTGTTCAAGGCCTCTGACACACGACTGTATTTCATCAGCTGCTTCTGTAACTGCATTGATACCTCTATCCGCTTCTGAAGCCATGTTCTGTGAGTAAGTTCTGTAAATTCCAGGATATGCCACAGATACATCACTGAAGTTTCAACGCGGATTGCACTCTAGAAACGGACACATCCGTCTGACTCAACAAACAGGACAATAAACATTACCGTTTCCTTGATTTTGCTATTGACTAGAAAATGGATCATGAAATGTATTGGAATGTTTCTGTTTCCAAGGACCTTTACAATGGAAAATCCTGTACGTGGCATCTTTTCAACTAAAAGGTGATTGAGAATGCTGGCAGTAACATCTTCTAACGTCAATCAGAAAAGAATGGTTCTGATCTTGTGCCTCTTTTCTTTTGACCCTTGTGTTCACAGCCGAAGTACCTATGATGCACTAAGTTACGATCCCAACAAGGCGGAAAGATCAACTACTTCTTAGAACAGAAACTTGTCAATTGGCATAGGGTCTACGCTGCTGTAACTTTTGTCCAGTGTGGTCATAGGACAAGATGTGTCACGATGTCAATCATCTGCACCAAAAGATGCCCTCATTTCAGGCCAGGTTGGGTTTCTCTGAACTGTTAAGCAGATATAGAAAATCGTCGTGTTAGTAGTACCCGATGTCCATTTGATACCTATCTACTGCTTAATGTTACATGCCAGCAAGTGAAGAGATTGCTCAAGGATCTTTTCGCGCTTGGTCTTCTTGATCCTCTTGCGACGAGAATGAAGCCGGGGCCACTGTGCTACACAGGAGGGGTCGTGAAAAGGGGGGAATGGGAAAGGCAAACCAAATCAAAACAAACCACCCTTCTCCCTCGCTCTTCTCATCCCACTTATCCCACTGATACCGCCTTACCAAATATAGATGTTCTCTCCTGCAACACCACTTTACTGGCCATAATAGTCCAAGTGAAGTGGCAAACCGCGACAAATTGGACGGGGTAGAGGGTGGGCAAAGGAAAGTGGACAGCGCAAAGCTTTCATCCCCTCCTCTCCCACACTCTTTCTCTGTTCTCACCGTATCACCCACCCATTTCCTGGCCCAGAAAAGCATATTCCGTCCAGTGTGACAAACCTCGTATGCTAATACAAGGTGTCACGGGCACCATGTCGCAAAATTCTCTCTCTGGCTGACACGTTGCCCACTGTGTCACGAAGTGAGGAGCAACCTGACATTGCCAACCCCAGCCAGGGACTCTTTTACCGCACTAAGAGGTCCGTTTTCGCTACCGGCAAGAGGGCCTAGGCCCCCAGTGACGCAACAGCGCAGCAGAGGGTCCAGGGACCAGCTCTGGTGTCAGAAAAACCGAGAGAAAAAGAGCGGATGGAGGAGATTAAACACCGAGCCGGAGAGAATTCCGCCAATAGGAATCTGTAATCTGGCCCTGGAGACACTTCCTATTGGCCTTTCAAAGCCCGTCCCAGTTGCGGAAGGAGGGAAAACGGAAGACGACTGGGTCTGGGACTAGGGCACAGGCTTCCCAGTCTCCAGAGAGGCAGTCCCTTGCAAGTCTCTGCGCCCAATTCTGGAGAACCGACGGATAAGTCCATCTGCAGGAATGACAGTGTGAACTCCTAGGTGCTTTGTGAGAGTCTACCTGCCGTGTACATGCAGCAACAGGCGGTGTCCATGACACCTTTGCCGGACACAATTCGTGACACTCGAGGATTGTACCGGCTCAGCTGTGTATCGTGAGTTTGTCACACTGAGCCAAACTCCGCGCCATAGAGGTTAATATGGGGTTGGAGTATTGGAAAGTAGTCTGATGCTCCCAACACAAAGTCCAGGACTGTGTGGAAATTCCCTGGTCTTTTATCTTGAAATGTTGCTGGGAATTTCTTGGAGCGGCGTCGCCGGATCCTCTGTATAACATTGTCAGATTGTGCATAAACAGTAACTACCTTAGCTTGTGCAGTGTCGGACGATCCAACGTGGACGGACGCGTGCTAGCCGCGGTACACTGCACAGTAAACTTGAGTAAAGTACATGGAGTACGTACCTGACTGCCCAAAAGACCCTGATTGCTTGAGACAGCCCAGTTTTTGGACCCTTGGACCCCTTCTTACCCTTTCCAGCTTGTTAGTTTGTTGGAGAGAGGGGAAGAGATACAGTGCCTGCCCGTACGGAATTACGGATACATACGGATAGCATGCACGCTAATTTGTCAGTTTCTCGTTCAAGCAGGGTCCTAAAAACGGTACGTCATAACTGTGGCCTGGGTCATTACGGTGGGAGAGACTGCGCTGTTCTCGAAGTCGCCCCCAAGGGAATCGTATTTCGATAAAACTGTCGTACCTCAGCACATCCGATCCCTCAGCCAAATACCCGATCCTGTCGTTCTTTTCCATCCAACTTTTGCATTACACGATTAATCAGAATTCGCCTGGGCCTTGTTCAATTTGCCATCCCGTCCCCATGCAGTTTCCCTATCGGTTTCTTCGATTTCCTCGATTCCTGTGATCGCAAACCCGGAATCTCGATCCTCGAAACCTCGATCCCCAACACATCGACATTTCCATCGACATTCCCATCCAAATCCCATCGAGTTTTTCCATGGTTTCCGTCAAAGCTGATGTGCAGCTGATCCACAAACGGCCCAAGCTCGGGTTGCAGATGTCGGCGGAGGCGGAAGGGGAGGCGGCGGCGAATGCATTCGCGTCCGATGCAGCGCCGGACAACGCCGATGCCCACGCGCCGCTGCCGCCAATGTCCTTTGACCAGATCAAGGCGACGGAGATGATACAGAGAGTGAGTCGAATTTGTTGACGATGTCGGTTCCATCCCTTGTCGTTCTCGATCGGTGCAAGTGGCGACTTACACGGATGGTTCTAGATTCACGACGATGCGAGACAGTTGCTCCAAAACATTCAGGGTCTGGTCGATGGCACCTGTTCGAAAGGCGGCTGCGAGTGCGGCGATTGCTCTAGAGAGACGACGAGCAGCAACTCGAGAATACTAGCTGCGCAGAGCTTATCAGAGGCTATCGCCAGCAACCTGGATGACCTGGCGCTGCTGTCCTACAGAAGCACCACAGATGCAGACCGGCAACAGTCTGTGAGCCCCAAAGCGACCAGGAAAAGGCGCTATTCCAACGTGGCGGCATTTGATCGCACTTCAAAAGTGGTAGGCTCCTTTTTTCCTCAATCATCCCTTCCAATCCGTCAACAAGATGTTGTGAACTAAATCATCGTGATAACAGAAGCGTGTGGTGGACGACTCCCTTTGCTGCCACACCTGCCAGGCGACGAGCACGCCGCAATGGAGAGACGGACCCGACGGTCGGTGGACGCTCTGTAATGTTTGTGGACTATTATATGCGCATCATTTACGCAAGAACGTTTCTATTGCACGTCCAAAAACCCAAGAGACGATGGGGAGGCACATTTAGCGGCGAGATTGTGGAGAGGCAAATATGTCAGTGGGCGGCGTAACGGAGCATTGTATTCATGATATTTGAGCGAGGCGTCCTAGGAGTATACGCTGAGCGCCAGCGACGGGAATTCTTCGTTAAAGCATCGTAATTGTTTTCTTTTTTCACGATGAACAGATACCCGACGAGACTTGGAATTAAGCATGATGATTCTTCTTGTTGAACGGTCTGATGGTGGCGATTCGCCTTGTCCCGGAACGTGTGAACCCACTCAACCGTGCGGTCCAGCTTGTGCTGTTCCACCATATTAAACGGGATTTCGACGAAACCATTCACAGTTTCTTTCGTCCCAGATACGGCCATTAGGTAATTTAGAAATAAACGGGCTTTCGGGGTCGAAAAACCCAGAAAACTGAGCAGTGACGTCAGAAGCCGCCAATCATCCGGTCATTCTGGACGGGCAGTCGCGAATAACAACGGGGGCGAAAGGCGGGACGGGAACTGGGAAGGCGCAAGACGCAGAAATAAGATTGTCAGGCTACGTACATTTCCCGAAATGGCTATGGCCACGTGTGGGCGAACTTCTTTCGATTCGACTCGATTGAAGTTCGATTGACATGTCGCAGGCAAATGTTTGTACATCGGCTTCAATGTGTGTTGAGATCCGCCACTCGCTTCCTGTCAGTCCTTTCGACCTCTTCAATCCTCACGAATAACGCTTTGAACGGCGCCAAGCGCATTTGCTAGAAACGGGCCAGCCCTCATGACTCGACTTATTCCCGTGGGCAGAAGGAAAGAAGATTTTGCCACGGTCTTTTGCCAAAGCGGTCGCTGATGTTGAGTGATATTCTTCACGAAGCATCAACATCTGTCAGTGCTTACATGTACTGTTAGGTATTATTGCAGGCCTGACTACACCGATGCAACCGCAACCAGACGAATATACCACTCGCAGACCTTCTGTTCTTTGCAATTGTCGCTCGTACTCGCCGCTCGTACTTCCTGCCGCCATCTTTCAATCCAGCATTCATTTACACGTGGTCCATCGGCATCATATGTGGCGGATGAGCTAGAGACACGGCTCCGTCTAGTCGTGCGGGGCGGCTATGGCTCAGCCTGCACGCTCAATCGACGACGATGTCCAAGTACACCAAAATCTCGACAACCTCCTCGAGCCCGCGTCCAACACTATACAAAACTTCGGCTTCTTGGTTGCTCTCGTCGTGAACGAGGACAATGTCAGCCGTCTCGTGGTCAAGTGCGCAAGCGATAATTCGGCCACACTTACAGGTTATTCCCCGGATGACCTGTTCGGACTCGAAGACTTTGGCAGCATCCTGGAGCGAGACGATGTGGGAACCTTGATGGCTCGGCTTGGCTTGCTCAGAGAGGAGAGATCCAATGTAGGAGCTACAGGTGGCCGTGCCGTTTTCAACCTGTCGATTATCCACAAACAAGGCGAAACTACAAGATTTTGGTGCTCCATGCACCTTACCAGGAACTCTCCAGGCCCCGAAACGATCGTTTGCGAATTCGAGCCACACGAGGATGGCTCTGCCACCCCGGTGGCCCAGCGAAGTTACACGAGTGACGCTGTGACGAAGACCCCTCGAATGTCTAGGAGAGTCGGCAAAGATGGTGTGGAGTTGAGCACTATGCAGGCGATTGGTATCATGTCAGAGATCCAGGCGTCCTTCGCGGCCATAGCAGGTCTAGCGGCAGTCCCGGACACCATCGTGGCTACAGTAGAAGAGGTCACAGGGTTCGGCAGAGTCGTTTTGTATCGCATCGACGAGTTCATGGCTATAACGATACTCGACACTTCCGACAGGGAATGGCAGGGCCCACAACGATGCATACATTTCACGAGGCCCCCTCGCGCCAGCAACGTCAACCATCAATCGCCTTTCCCGAGTCAGCTCAGGATTCTACACGATAGCGACGCCAGCCCTGCGAGACTCGTCTACCGAAACGCGGAATTCCATCAGCGTGGACCTATCTACCTGGACCGGTCCTACCTCAACAGAGCTTCGCCAACGTTCTTTGAAGAGCTCGCAGCTGAGGACTCTAAAGCTCGCTCCTTCTCGACCATTCCGATCAACGCCTTTGGTAAGCGATGGGGGTTGGTAGTCTGCTATGGATATAGTCCCGAGGAAACAAGAATAACCATGTCCAAACGCCAAATGTGCGAGTTCATTGGCAGTACATCTGGGGTGGCGATCGAGAGACTGTCATACGCTTCTATGCTGGGTCATGTTGAATTGTCGCAAGCCCGACGCGAATCGATTCGATATCCCAGCGAGAGCACCGCAGCGTCACAGGACCTCTTGCGCCTCTTTGGCGCCGATTTTGCCTTGACGTCTACCACAGGAGAAATTGGCAGACTTGGAGAGCCTAGCAAAGAGTTGTACCAAGAGGCAACGGCGATAGTGCGGCGCATTCAACCATACCGAAGTGAATCCGTCATCATATCGACAGACGTGGCGGCTGAACTGCCTGATGTGGGGATCGCTGCAAGTGCTCGTACCATATCCGGGTTGCTCTGGGCGCCGTTGTCCACATCTAGTGGTGACTTTGTTGTCTTTTTCCGATTTAAGCAACCTACGTCAGCCGTCGCGCGCGATGGCGCATCATCACTTCTTGAGAGTGATCCTCAATCTGCTACCCAGTCAGCCCTTCAGTGGTCTGACAGGCAAGTACGCATGGCCACTGCTCTCGGTTCCCTTGGCCGCCAGCTACCACTCTCACAACTGCCCAAGGAGAGTACCTTCGTGACTATTCAGTCAGTGCTCTCGCTCGCTAGAATCGAGCCTCATGTGTACAGTGCCGTGGGCTCCATGGTTGAGAGTCTTGATGATACGTTGCAGAATCTCGGAGAACAACATGCTGCGTACGACAATGTTAATCAAGCGTACTTCTCATCTAGAGTGCTTGAGTACTTGCTCAACGATCTTCGTTGCTAGCACCTTAATGTAAATCTTCAACTATTAGACGAGTCTCAAGAGTCAATCGGCCAGTACCTAGTATCTGGCATCCTCGTAGCCCTGACCTTCTTGGTCCAAGGCAATCGTGTGTGCGAAGCAACATGATGCTTTTGGTTTATGCGAACTCGGGCCATGATGCTTCAATGCTCTCTGAAACTTGACAGCATCTCACCCCGCATTGAGGCCATGAGACGTAGATATGATGATCCCGGAGTCCACTCCGGCGGACGTTACTCCGGCGGCATTCATTCCGGCGAATTCCACTTGACACCTGACGGCGGCAGGCAAGCTCTCGGCGCGGAGACGCAGTGTTCCGTTCACCTCTGCATTAGGTAAGTTGGTGGTTGCCAAAGGGGCCGCTCCAGGACTAAACCTAAGGTGGATACATCGGGTGGATGGTAAAAGCGGACCCGGCGTCCAGACCAGCCCAGAGCTTGGACCATCTCTTCGAAGATACGTACCGACCATCGATGAGCTCATCCCCGTTCCGACACACCAATGACACTATGCCTAATTCGTCGGGTGACTCCAAGCTCAAGCTCCAGCTCCAAGCTTCAAGCTCCCTCACTCCCTCGACATCTCTCCGGACCTCCCCATCCAATTGGCAACGGTCCCTCGCTGGCAACCAGAAAAAAACGGGAAGATGCCGTCCAACACACAATCCGAAGATGCCGCGGAACGGCCCCTCTTGGCAGATCCCCATCATGAGTACGGCGGCACTGATGGGCCCGAACCCCCCGTGCTGATCGCCGAGGAGCGCGGGGCTGGTACCTTTTCCAAGAACCTCGGCGCGGTCGAGGCGTTTGCCATTGTCATCAGCATCGTCATTGGTAGCGGCGTGTTCACCTCTCCGGGTTCCATTGACACGAACGTCCCGTCGCCCGGCGCTGCGCTGGTAGTATGGCTTGTTGGTGGTGTCCTGGCGTGGACTGGTGCGAGTACCATGGCTGAGCTGGGGACGGCGATCCCTGGTGAAGGTGAGTCCAACCCCCTTGTTGAGTCTCTGTGTGGTGCGATGGCGCTGACGATGTGAACAGGCGGTGTTCAGCCCTTCCTGCAGCACATCTATGGCGATGTCTTTGGCTTCCTTGCCGCCTGGACCTGGATCGTGGCCGTTATGCCAGCCACTCTCGCCATCCTCAGCATCGTATTCGTAGAGAGCATCTACTCCGCCGGCGGGGTGACCGACCAGGCGGGAGCTCTCCCGCACAAATTGTTCTCGATTCTGATTCTCGTCGTTATGAACGGCGCCAACTCCATCAGCACCAAGGCGAGCACTCGCCTGAACAACTTATTCGTCGTAACCAAGTTTACCAGTATCTTTGCCGTTGTACTTGCCGGCATCGTCGTCGTCATCCTTCAAGTCTCGGACCACGACCGCGATGTTGGCGGACGGGACTGGTTTAATAAGCCCTGGTTCGGGAACCGCAAGACGTCTTTGCCGGGTGGCGGCGAGCTGGACTGGAACAAGGTTGGGACGTGGGATATGCTTGGCTACTACTCTGCTGCGCTCTACGGTGCTCTCTGGGCGTACTCTGGCTGGGATAAGGTATGTCGTTCGTCCTGGTATCTATTAGTGGGTGCATCTAACATTGTCAAGGCCGTCTACGTCTCTGCTGAGCTTCAGCAGCCGGCACGCCAGCTCCCTCTCGCCATCAACACGGCCGTACCGACGATCATTCTGTGCTTCATCGCGGCCAACGCAGCCTACTACATCCTTCTCCCCTGGAATGTGGTTGCCTCGACCGACAGCGTGGCAGTCGTCAGTCATGCCCATCAACCTCAATTGACTCCTTTCCCGTGCTCACAATAGCTAGACCGCCATCAACCGCCTCCTCGGCCCCGCCTTCGGCATCGTCGCTGCAGTCCTCATCTGCCTCGTTGTTGCCGGCTCCCTCCTCGGCAACTCCTTCGTCGCGGGCCGCATGACCGTCGCAGCATCAAACTTCAACTGGCTACCCAAGTTCCTCGGCTTCGTAGGCCGTGTAGGATTCAAGTCGGAGGAGAACTCGCCAGCCAATTCGTCCGCCGATGCTTCGTCTGGGCCTGCGCACGCGAGATCCGACGCGCCGCTCAACGCGCTCTTGCTATCGACAATTCTCTCGGCGCTGTATATTCTGTTTGGCAACTTCCGCGCCCTCTTGACCTTCAACGGTCTGGGCGAGTACACGTTTTTTTTCTTGACAGTCCTCGGTGCCGTCATTCTGCGCGTTCGAGAGCCGAAGCTGCGTAGACCGTACAAGCCGTTTGTGCTGATCCCAGTTATCTTTGCGCTCGTCAGTGGATTTGTGGTTGTGAGAGGAGCTATTTTTGCTCCTGTGCAAGCGCTCATCTTGATTGTGCTGTGGATTGTCGGGCTTGGATTTTACTGGGCTAGGAGGAAGTATTACGCTCACTGCAACAGGGCTGATCATTGATCAAACGACTATCAGAGCGTGTTTTGATTGATCGAGGTGGTACATATTGACTAGCAAATTTGATTTATCTAGGTACCTACTTGTGAGAGATTCAACACACACGTGTATGATGATACATTCTGGAGGCTGAACTAAACTAGATAACACTAGATAGCTCTCAGACATTACAACGTTCTAGTTTCACAAGTCGTTGCTCAGAGCTCCTCGCTCGTGGGCTCATTCCTGCCAGGGTCATCCAGATCAGCAAACAGCTTAACACCCCACTTGGCCCCGGGGTTGCTCAAGCGGTGCTTCTTATCCTGCTTGCCAATCTCCTTCAACTCCTCTTCAGTGAACTCAATGTCGAGCGCCTTGCGGTTCGAAATGATGTGCGAGTCCTTTGTGCTCTTGGGAATCACGCTCGTGCCCCGCTGGATACCCCACGCCAGCACGGCCTGGAAGACGGAAACGCCCTTCTTGGCGGCGACGTTGACCCAGAACTTGTCCTGGTAGATGGCGGGCAGGTCGTCGCTGTACGTCGGGTTCGTGTTGGCGAGCGGGGAGTAGGCGATGACCTCGATGCCCTTTTCCTTGTGCCAGTCTACAAACTCTTGTTGTTGGAGGTACGGGTGGGTTTCGAACTCGTGGGCGTAGGGCTTGATCTCCGCCGCCTTCAAGATTGTCTCGACGTCGGCTTTGGCGAAGTTGGAGAGGCCAATGTGGCGGGTTAGGTTTGCCTTGACGAAACCTTCGAGGGTCTTCCAGGTGTCAACGAGGGTTGTCTCGCGGTCGAGGGCGTTGTTGGGGTCGTCGGGGATGAAGGCGACGGGCCAGTGGATCAGGTAGAGGTCGAGGTAGTCTACGCCCAGGTCCGAGATGGACTTCTTGATGGCGGCTGCGGCGCGGTCGGCGCGGTGGTCGGTGTTCCAGAGCTTGGAGGTGACCCAGACGTCCTTGCGGGCGACGCCGGAGGAGGCGAGGCCTTTGCCGGTTTGGTCTTCGTTCCCTGGAGTGGGATGTTAGCTTGCGGGACGATGGATCTCGATGAAAGCGGTTTGATGTGAGAGATGCGGATGACTCGTGTGAGTTGTTTGACTCGCGTGAGCACTTGAGGAAGGGCATGTGAGTTATGAGATGGAACTTACTGTAGATGAGAGCGGCGTCAATGTGGTTGTAGCCTACCTCGCCCACGGCAAAGGCAACGGCATCGGCGACCTTGCTCTTGTCGGACAGCCATGTTCCCAGGCCCAGAGGAGGGATCTCGTCGAGGCCAGAGAGGGAAGCTTGGGCCAGGCCTGCGCCGGCGGCGGCGGCGGCGACTAGTGTCTTGAGGTGCACCATGATGAAGCTATTCAGAAACCTGTTTCTCACTGTGATTTCCAGTCCAAAGTATTTGGATGCTATTCACAGGTTGATGTACAGTGGCTAGGACAGCTCAATTGATGGGAACCGCGGTCTTTTGGCAGAATTCCTCTTTCCCCTCTTCGCTTTGAAATCGCATCATCCCGATTTCTATCCGCTTAACCAGCCCCCCTGGTCTCTTTTTATCAGTGGAGGTGGTTGCCGGCATGACATCATCCATCTCCTCACTTACACCACCCGCGCACCGGGCTCCCATTGACACACGCAACGTCGCAGCCGAAGCACGTCAATCCTCGATGATTTGCTATCGGCGAATTCAAAGTTCTAGGATGGGGAAGATCCGGGAGAGATATTGTCAATTGGTATCAAGAATTGAGAAAAAGCTAAGTAACAAGAAAAAAGTGTCCAACAGGTCATATCACCAACCAAAAGAGCCAGCCGATACCGGTGGCTACCAGCGGTGAAATCAACAGCACCGCTTCAAAGCGAGGTGTTCCCGAAGAGGAAGGTGACTTGGTCGCTGCCTCCACATTGCTCTTCGCCTTTGATTTTGAGGATGGCCCCGCTCCGCTGTCGGCATCGGCCTCGGATTCGGTCCCGGCATCGGCATCGGTGGCCCCAATCCCGGCCCCGGCACCAGATGCACTGCTTCCCGACGACAACACCACTTCCGCGCCATGAGCCCCAGCCGCCGGCGCCGGTGCTGCCACCGGAGCTGCTGCTATTGCTGGCCCTCCTAACGCCGCTGCAACAGCCGCATACGCCGGCTTAGGCTTCATATCCTTGTCGAACAAGCACGCGTCCCCGGCGCCCGAAAACGTGGACGGGATCCAGCTGTACTTATCCGTAAACTCCCACACCACGACGCCGACGCACTTTGCGTTGTCCACGCACGTCTTGACGACGGTGCCGTAGTCCTTGGCCTGCTGCTGTATCGCGGCATCATCGGCAGGCAACTTATCATGCCGCACATCCAGCTCCGTAAGCGCGACCTCCAGCCCCAGATCCGTGAAGCGCGTCATGACTTTGTTCAGTGTATCCTGCGACGGCGTCTTGCCGACCTGGAAATGCGACTGGAACCCGATGCCGTCGATCTTCACGTTTGCGGCTTTGAGATCCTGCACGATCTTGACGGCGCCGTCCGTCTTGTTGGAGTTGAACTCGAGGCTGAAGTCGTTGTAGTACAGCTTCGCGGCCGGGTCGGCTGCCGCGGCGGCCTTGAAGGAGATGGTGATGAAGTCTGCGCCGAGGGTGCGGGAGAAGACGCTGTCGCGGAGGGTGCCGTTGTCGGCGAGGGCTTCGTTGACGACGTCCCATGAGTAGCAGGCGCCTTTGTAGTGCGTTACCACGTTGGAGATGTGTGCTTGGATTACGGGGGTGAGAGTTTCTGGGGTCCAGGTGCCCGTTGAGACTGTGGTCTTTGGTCAGTATTTGGTTCGAGGTTCGAGGCTTTCAGCTCAAGGATGAGCATGAACGTACCGAATTGTGGAAGTTGAGAGTGCCACGTCAACGCATGACATCTCATCATCTGCTTATTCGACTGCGCGACGGCCCTCACGGAATCCGGATTCGTGAACTGGAACTCATTTTGCGTCTTCTCCGTCGCGTCCCATTTCTGACTGTTCTCCGGCACCACGAGGCCGAACTCGCCCGTCTTGTTCAGGACCGCCATGTACGCCGCATCGTTGAAGAGGTTCGTGTCTGTTGCCGTGCCAAAGAAGAGCTTCCCCGACTTCACTGCTAGCTCGTGGAGACCTTGCCCTGATACGGAGGCTACTCCTCTCCATGTTGAGAGGAGAAGCCAGCTTGTGAGTCTCGCCATCTTCTTTCTTTCCTTGAAAATCGCCCGCTTGCTGATGGAAGCTCGTGAGGGAAATGCGTTATGCGCGTAAAAGCGCCAAGCCTGCGATGAGTAAAAGATGGGATGGAAGAATTGAGAGCGCAGAAGCAGAGGTCCGGGGGGGAGAGAAGGGAAAGATGTCATTCGATGTAACGTCTTTCATGCGGGCACAGACTAGCCCATATATCAGTGGGCAAAGAGAGAGTCTGCTTGTCTGCTTTACCCTAACTCTCTTCTTCGTCCTCCAATAGCCCGATTCGCATTACACTTTCAGGAGCTTCCCGCATGATCATGTGGGAAGCGGCAAAGGCCTTTGGATCGGATGTTTGGGTGCCGTACCGGGATGAGGCCGATGAGATTTCCGCCAGAAGAGGGGTTGGCAACTTGGTGTTGGTTCCGGTTGGAGGGGCCGTATGGCGGCCTTTGAGGTGCTTCACTTGGGGTTTCAGAGTCGTCCGAACCGTACTTTCATCATCAGCGGCGGGGGGCCGTTGGGCGCACTTTTTCAAAAGAGCCGTCATCCTAGGTTGGTGAGAGTCAGGGATGGTCTTGCATGAAGGCACAGCCTAAAGTCAATTAACCCACCTCTTCAACTGGCAACACCCCTAAAGTGAGGCTCCGAGACGAGGCTTAGTGGCGGGGCAGCAGAGAGAAAATGGTTGTTGGCAAGTTGATGTGTTGTACAAAGAGGGGCACACCGCAACGCACGCACATACGCACACACGGAGAACTCCAGTACAACGTCATTTGTTGTCAGCCTCGACAGGGCTGTTGCTTCTTATGTATTCTTGAAGCTGGGCTTGAGGATGGACTACAAGATGGCTCGTACGTCCGCGCTTGAAAAATTGAGATCAAAGCAGGTACTTTTCAGATGGTTGACTCGGTCGGACTGCCCGAAGTAAAGGTCCGATGCTGAATTGTCAGAGTCAATTGACAAAGCTAGTGCCCGGTCCTCTTGAAGGATTTCTCATTTCTTCTGGAAGTCTAATCACAGATACTGGCACTTCAGGGACCGAGGGATTGAGTTCTGACGCGCTTCTTCACGAAAGTAGAGAGCATGCTACAGAGCTTCATCAATAAGTTCTACACGTCTCTGTAATCAACTACTAATCTAATATTGAACAGATGTTCCTGCCATCTGGGAATGTCGTAAGAGAATGCTTCATAGCCTCTAGAAAAGGTTTACACAATTTCTTACACCATGTCTTACACAATCTCAAAGTACTCGAGCTCATCCTCATCGGTCGGCCACATCTCACCGCCCATCGCACCAGCAAACACCGTTGGTCCTACTATCGTATACCTCCCGACCTCACCTTTACAAGGCCGCAATATGAACGGATGATCCATCCCCGCAAGAAGACATACGACATCGCCTTCCCGAACACCAACAACTCCAAAACCAGCCCTTCGGTCAAGCGTGTAGAACAACCGTCCCAGCCGGAGTTCGACTCGGCACTGGCACCCGCGCAGCGAGTCCCACTTCACGAGGGATGAGACTACTGACATGCCTCGTACGGCCTTGTTAGAAGACGATGACGACGACGATGTTGACGTTGACGTTGATGACATGGACGCCGACCATTCATACTTTCTTGGCCCTTGAATAACCCACCATAGCAACTCGTAGAGACTGCGGCCCATAGCGTCAAGCTTGGGTCCTGCCCAGATAGTGCTCGAAACGCTCATCATGAAGCGACCAAGTACATCCAGGTACGGGCTTTCGCAGTCATGCGGAAAGGGTCGCTTCGCCTCACATTCTTCGTCTTTGTCTGCCATCTTTTTGTCATGGCCATGGCATCTTCCCTCAGAGCACTGGCTCTTTGTAGGGAACATGTCGCTCACGAAATTCCCTACTTTTCCTACACGCACCCCTCGAAGTGTGAGCCTCCTTCCGTCGCCAGAGAAAGCGAAATATGACTTGGCGCCGCCTGAAGCCGCGCAAAGACTGGTGTAATAGTACTTGTACGACCCCCTCACCTCAGAATCCGTAGTCGCAAAGTCGACCGTCCACGACGGCATGCACTCCCATGCAACGCCAGCCGTCGTCTTCTCCCGATTTGAAAAGTACAGCACGCGTAGGCTATCCTCCTCTTCGACCATGAGCCTCGTTGCGTCTCGAAAGACCTCTCCGATGGGCTTCCGGTAGTCCACCGTCATCTTGCCGAGTACACCTGGTGATAGCGCACGTAGCGCAAAGATCTTGTCTCTCGGCTCCGAGGCTTGCATTGTGAGGACTCGACGTAGTTGGTTCGTTGCCGCGCGGAACGGCCGTGTTGTTGCCATTGCTTGCCATTCGTAGAGATCCACGTGTAGGTCCATGCCCTGCTGACTCGGAACGCTCTCGTCTTTTGGTGCCACTGCGAGGAGACGTGCAAGGCTTGAGAAGACGAAGAGTCGGGAGTCACGGCAGAGGACGGCGGAGTTCTTGTGGGCAAATTCTTGGAGCGTCCATACCCGTGTCCAGTAGGGTGATAGTCTCAAGTGATGTAATGTATCACTGTTGCAAACTGTCTCTTGATTAGAGGCCGATGAGAAATTTTGATGACGAGGATTTGTGCGGGATCGTACCTTTCAAAGCGATTCTGGCAGCTAAGCTCTTTACTCCTTCACTTCGACCGCGATCATACCCGAGACGGGGAAACAATGCTAGAGGCTTCGAACATGCCAGACTGCCCCAAGTTGCCGGTGCATGATCCTCCCCGAGCCACACAACTACAGTCTTTGCGCGGTGGTAAATCTCGGCCATCATAGCCACTTGAGCATTGCGTTCATCGTCGGATGCCTGGTCGATGCAGATGGCGTCTATCCAGACACTTAAGCTACGGCGGTTCTTCGTTTTTCGGTGAAGGGATCGACGCAACAACCTCAGTGCTGCAGCGCAATTGGGAGTTATTAACAACTGTTTCGTGGATGATCCAGAAGTTCGTATTGTGAGCGGTTCGCACGGCTCTTCTCCGCCCCAGGTATAAGATAGCGCAACGTATGAAGGCGGGCAGTCCACGCTCGCTTCTACAAGGCGGCAGCTGAGAGGTTCTTGGAAAGATTCTCTCTTCGCGCTTCTTTGGAACACTACTAGTCGAATTGATCGTGAGGTAGACAGGGGGTCGAGTTTGAATTGGTCGGAGATCTCCATGCTCAAGGAAGGGGGTACGAAGAGGTCTAACGACCTTGAAAATAGTTCATACACAAGCAGCAGAAAACTTACGCTTTTCCCAGCTTCATTTAAGTGAAAGCTGTGATCATCATAGGGAATCAGGGCCGATGTTGAGCCAAATGAGTAAGCACTAGCAGGGGCAAAGGAGTGGCCGATGCATGATTGTCGGTAGAATATACATGATAGGAAGGCAGCCAGGGATGCAATTGGGCTGAGCAAAAGACGTTTTCAGCCGCTATTTCAAGACAGCCAATGTTATGGCGTTCACTCTCTTCATAGGTAGTCAGGAATATGGTCAGTTGTCAGCTCCAGCATGTGGTGCTACAGATAACGTGTGTCGTTGGATATGGCAAGAATCTCCAACAATGTCTTAGTTGCGAAACCCTGCAGAATTCCGGATGATGCAACCCCGCACGAACATCTATTACCGGTGACTTTGGAGCGCACGCAGAGATGGCAAACGAAACACTGGTTGAAATTTGGATTGTAAAGCTGAGATAAACCTCACAAGCGAGGGCTCCCAGTCGCTGGGAATAGGGATAGGAAGTTTTCTTGGCACAAAGATCAATGTGAACACATGCTGAGGTATCAAGGACCTTGTTTGGTTCCGGACGAGGTGAACAGGTGTTCCAGCAGGCAATGTCGCACTACATAAGGGAGACCTGATGACGTCCTGAGTGACGATCTTTTCGGCCTAGAGCCGCCAATTGATGTTCTTTCTTTTCGTGCATTTCAACAGCTCAGGCTCTAGAGTGTAACCGCCCCTTTTCAAGCGATGTCTTGACCTGGGGGATTTGCACATTTATTTCCTTGCTTCCACCTCGCTCACCAAGCTGAAGGCGTGACCATTGCGAGTGCTACCTGAGAAACGACTGCAAACGAGAAAAATACGAGCAAGCTGGTGAACCGACTTAATAGAAATCACGACGAGCTTACTCTACATGCTTCTTTTATAACGGTAGCTCAAGAAATTAGCATGTTGAGAAACCCAGCTCCATGGCAATCACACGACATATACTTGTCAAACCAAGTCTTAGCTTCAAGTGGTCAAACTTGCGTCATAGTCGTCCGAAGTGAATAGAAATTTCCCATGTAACGGCAAGCTCATGATATGGAAGATCCGGCATGCAAATTTGATTGAAGCTCGACCTATTATTTCCATATATGGCTTCCGTTGAATTCCCCTACGATGTAGGCGAACCGTGTTTGCAAGGAACTTATTCATTGCCATGCAGGTCTCTTTACCTATCATCTAGCATGATGGTGCCATCACGTTTACAGCTGATTCTCTTTGTCAGATAGACAGTCAGGCTTTGAAAAATTCAACGTCGCGCGTAAGGAAGACGCCAAAAACAAATACCGTTACAGCTGCTATTGACGTAGTGGAAGATTGCTCGCGGTCATTGTACACACCGAATGCCGTTTCTGATACAAATGTCGGAGCTAGCGAATATCTGACGCCGACCACTAGGGGCAGCCAATGACGATCAAAGAGCTTGAGTTCGGCAGCTCGGCCTCGAGAGGGGTCGGCCATCGGCACTATGCTTCCGTGTAATGGCCGGGGACTTAGGATTGGTTGCCACAACACTTATACACTTCATGAGATGTATTTAACAGGATGAGTATACAACTCAAAAAGTTCCATGATACTGAATAAGAATCAAAACCAATTCGACATGTCAGGACGTATCGACACACACATCCACGCCCTTCCCCCGTCGTACCTCGCAGCTGTGAATGCCGCAGGAGGGGACCCTTCCGGGTTTCCATCGCCTGAGTGGTCTCTAGATGCCACTGTGAAGCCAATGGATAACATCAGCACATCTATAGGTGAGTTTTCTAGATCAGGGCAGACTCCTGTATCATTCCTTCATTCGACTAAAAGCATGGCCAGGAATCTTATCAGTCTCGGCTCCTGGTGCATCGATCGCGGGAACTGGTGAAGACGGGCGAAAGCTTGCACGTACCTTGAACAATGACCTCGCAGACCATATCGGCAAGTCATCAGCAGGAAGACGTCTTGGATTCTTTGGAGTCCTGCCTGACTGGCAAGACATCGACGGCACAATTTCAGAAATCGAGTTTCTCTACCAACAACAGAGACTCTGCCACGGTGTAACCGTCTTTACCTCGTACGGCGGCAAACTCCTCGGTGACCCAGTCTTTAGGCCCATCTGGGAGAAGCTACAGTCTCACAAGGCTCTTATCTTCCTTCACCCGACGGGCCTCGATGTGACGCCGAAGCTCATAGCTTCAGCCCTCCCCCAACCAATCGTCGACTACCCACTCGCAACTACCCGGGCTGCGGTGGACCTCGTCCTGACCGGGACCCTCCATGCCTGTCCCGACATCGACGTGATTCTGTCACATGCCGGAGGAACTCTCCCATTTCTAGCCACCCGTGTGCTGGGGACACTCAACATTCCGGCTCTCGCAAACGTCGTTGCCGTGGATTACGAGACTGCGCAGGCCGACTTTGCTCGGTTTTACTACGACACGGCATTGAGCTCCAGTCCGACACAGCTAGGGGGCTTACTCGACTTTGCCGATCCGTCTCACATCCTTTTTGGATCAGACTTCCCATACTGCCCTGACCCGCTGATTGAGCTCCAGGTCCTTTCATACGAAGGGTTTGTTGCATCTCATCCGAGGGGGTCGGTTCTTGCGCCTGAGGTTCTGCGAGGCAACTCGATGGCCTTGTTGAAGAAGCACAGTCAGAGGAGAGATCCAGACTGGGACTATGAAGTGAAGAAGATGATGCATGAGTCGAAGATGTGATGCGAGGCTCAGGTTGCGTCTTGACTTATGCTTGGATCTCGAAGATATACTTACAGGGGTTTGAGCGTGGTCATTATCTTGTGGCATTGTTCTATATTATCTCATCTACTAGCTGCAAATCAATGACAAGTTTGGCTTCGTAAGGCATGCTGCATCTCAATCATTCCTCATCAATCCACTCAAAGTGCGACTGCGTCTGTCTGCAATCAAACTTTGCACGCTCCTCCGGGCTCATATCGGCTCTCAGAGCAGCAGCTTCGGCACTCAAATCATCCATCTCCATATCCGCCACGGCATCAGCAAGTCCATCGCCCGCTTCTCCCTCGTGCGCCGCATCCTCATCGTCATCACTGTCGTCCATCTCAAAGTCCTCATCGTCTGCGTCGTCCACGTCCTGAGCAATCTTTCTCTGCTCAGCCTCGTGTACCCGGCGCCGCCAGCCCTGGAGCGCGACGATGCACTCGTCGTGCTTGAAGTCTGCGAGGTCGCCAGTGCCCCAGCCGTGGGCGCGGTAGATGTCCACCGGTTCCGATGACTTGGCGAGAACGCTCGGGTCGAGGATCTCGGCGTCGTCGTCCTCGGTCGGCGGCACGGGGAACAGCTGGACACCTAGGCTTGATACAAGCTGAGAGAAGTAATCCGTAACAGAGTACGACCGTACACACCGCCACGGCTTGTTACGCGGGACCTTTCCAACGGTGTAGAGGTTCTCCTCGTACGGCGTGAGAATACCTCGGCTGCAGTCTACGATCCACCAATAAGGCTTCGTGCGCGAACTGGAAGATCGGTACTCTCCATACGTGAGACAGACAACATCTGGCGGCAAATCCATCGGTGCGGCTCCCGTGTCGCGCGTGGGAAGGGCAGCGAGCTCATGAAGCCCCGCGTCGCCGCGATCGGACCACTGGCTGAAGTGTCCCATGTGACGGAGGTAGCGCACAGCCTTGGTTTGTGGTGCGACGTTCCAGGGGCCCGGACGAGGTCCGTCGTGCATCGGTCTGGCGTAGGGGAGATGGCGCAGCAGGTCGATAACGACCTCGGAGCGTCGCAGAGCGCGCAGGGCGCCGATATCTAGATCGGCATCTGTCCAGCCTCCTGGCGGTGGGAAGTCGACGTATGATGATGGAATGTAGGCGAGGCGCGTGAGAGCCGAGTAGTATTGAGTGAGGCCAGCGACGACATCGTCACGGTTGTAGGCGCAGTTGAGGGGGGGTTGATCTGGAGGCATCTCGTCGACGATGGCCACGGCTGAAAGATGAGGGGTAAGTAAGCAAAAGGAGTCTGAGAGTTTGGTGTTTTGTTTCCTAAGACTCACAGTATTATCACAGTCTGAGAAGAAACAGAAAGCACTCAAAATGCCCCGCAGAATGTGTGTTATCGTGAAAAAGCCTCGATGAGATGCTGTGCCGTCTATTGCCTAGAGTTTGTGGACGCGACGCGTCTGTTTCTTTCCACCCCGCTCTCAAAGCGGCCAAAATAGGCCTCGCTTGGCGAGACCGTTGGCAACTGGTCGTCTTCTTCAAGCAGGTGGTGCGGACAGATGCAGAAGATGCCTTCTCTAATTCGACCAGACCGCTCATTCTGACTGGGATGAGAACCAGGGTTCAAGGCACTAAATAAGCCAGGGTTTAGACATGATGACTCAGGAGCACATGTTGCCTCACTGCACTGCGATAAACAGTGAAATTTCACATTGTTACAGCTTGGAAGCGTGACAGCGAGTGAAAAAGACCACTCACCAGTCTCACAATCATAAGCTTCAATCTCACTCTCAACCCATTGCTTACAGCGAAATGCACGCGAATATGATTCCTCGACATACGCTGGCACATGATCATTCTCTCATTTCGAACCACAATTTGTTCGCTCGCGAATGAATCAATCAATGAGTTTATTGGCGCGAATAACTCACCACCACCACCACCACCTCTCTCATACATGTGTGGCTTTCCCCTGTCATGCATTACACTGAAGCGCGCCCGGTGCCCAACTGTGAACTCGCCCAGTTTCTCATCCTCACCGTCGCATCGCCCACGCGCCCCGTCTGACCCTCAAGCAGGATGAAGTCATGAGCCTCGCGTTCCGGCAATTCGACTAGCAGGTCCAGATCGTTATTGCCACAGCTGACGTGCTCCGAGAACGCGCGAATATCATCTCTGAAAGCTTCCTGCTGACCTCCAGTGATGTACAGGCTCTTTGTAGCCGCGGAAATCTCATCCACCCATGCCATGTCGCCGTCCATTGGCATCGCCATGGCGAGGTCGCTCTCGTCGGACTTGTTCCGCACGGGGAACCGCGGGTGAAGGAGCTCGGCCGTGGCGCGGGACATACATGTCGTGGTGAGCATGTCGACGTAGTTATTCTCTGTGAAAGCCGGCGTCGTCGTCTTGCTGCTAAGCCAGGGCGATACCAGAAACACACCTGCAAGACGATTCTCCAGGCGCAGGGCCGGGATCTCGAGGTGGCATGGGTGGCAGATGTGGCGAACGACGGAGCACGCCAGGTTGCCTCCGGCTGAGTCGCCGCCAATGATGAGATCGTTGGGTTTGATGCCGGATAGAATGAGCTGGTTGAGCGCTGCGATCGCCTGGCGGAGTTGCGTGGGATATCGAGCTTCGGGTACCAGAGTATACTGCAAGACGGCAACGGCAACCTCTGCGTGAGCTCCAGGACCACCGGTGACGTACGCGTTCCAGCACCAGTCGAGATGGCCGGGGAGAAGAGGCACCACGTATCCACCGCCGTGGAAAAACAGGACAAACTTTGTGGCCTTTTGACGATTGCCGATCCACAAGATCGAGCCGTCGTTAGCAGGGAGAGACTCGATCTTCTTCTGCAGCTTGTCCGCGAGCTCCGGATGACGCTTCTGCTTTTTCGCGATCCATTTCTCGTACGTCTTGATCGAAGGAGGGATTAGGAACTGTATCTCGCGTGCTCTCATCGACCCCAAAGCGAAACGGTAATACGCGCAGAAGGCAAAGAAGCGGATAGAGACACCTCTCGCGATAGCAAACGGGATGCCATAGAAGAAGTTCCACGCCAATTGTATCGGAGCTATCAGCACACGGAGTCAGTCACCAGTCAATGCTTCGTTTCGCTGTAAAGGAGTAGCCATGTTGAAAGCGAGACATACCACGGAACAGCAAACGAAAGACCAAGTCTCTCTTCTCCCACAGCGAAAGCTGCGGTCTCGATACCGACATGTTTTCTCGTTTCTCGGTCGCACTCGCACGCGATGATCGCACCCGGAAAGAAGTCTACTGATGTGCCTAAGGGTTCGGTTCGTCTGGTGTCAAAGCTGTCTACGATCCAGCCGTATGGCCGACATAAATGAAAGGAGCAAAGGCTGTGCTACGAGTGACTAGCAAGTGAGTAAGCAACCACCACCGCACAGCGCAGGTTGGCTTTGGAAGTCTGGGAAAACGTTCAGACAGGTTCAGACAGGAGGTTTGACGTGGACAAGAAACGCAAATGTGGCTCAGAATGTCACTGACATGTCTGTCCGCAGGAATCCGCAGGAGGCACGGGCGACCGAAGAGACGCTCCAACTACCGATGCTTCCGACCGAGGCATAATTCAAGATTGTTCAGGGTGGCAGAGGTAACAGTAGCTTGGTGTGAGTTAGCTGGCAAGGTAGTTCGCACTCGTTTAAACTCGTCACAAAAGCCGGTCTCCCACGTAGCATCATGGTGCTTCTTCAGGTTAGACCCTTGCATTATTACGTGGGGGATGCCCCTCACTTTGACGTGCAGGGAAAAGAAGCTTGGATCTCCAAACCTCATGCTCGTGCAGATTGGGGTATCAAGTCGCTTGGCCTGATCTCGTGGAAGTGGCTTGGGACCTCGGCTCCTCACTCTCGGAGGGATCGTTCCAAAGCTGTTGGGGTCGATCTCGGCTCACGTTGAAACGTGACAGTTTCGCCCAGAACATTAAAATACCAACCCTAGACAATATTCAAGCTTCATTTAATGATCAAAAATCTTTCTGTCTTAATTGTTTAGTGGGATTGATGACGCTAGTGACAACTGCACCATGTTGACCTCACGAGAAGGATTCACGGTTGACGTGATTGCCAGATGGCTCCGAAAATCAGTCCTCAATCCGTATCTCTCGATACCGCTTGCAACCGGACTGGCGGTGGTATCAGCAAAAAAGAACGGAGCGGTCGGACTCTCAGACATCAGATTTGACACCGCTCAGCGCGTTGCGTTCCTCGCGGCTCTAGCAAGCTTCGTCTTGTCAACCACCGAGTATCTCAACAAATGGTCGGCAAACAACTGGACGACAGACCACACATGGGATTTTGACAAAGAAATCATTATTGTCACCGGTGGCAGCAGTGGCATCGGCCACAGTATCATCAAACATATCCTGGCCAGAAACCCGCGGGCGACTATCGTTGTTGTCGACCTAGCTCCGCTATTATGGGAGCCTCCGAAAGGTTCCAACATCCACTTCTTCAAGTGTGATCTGACCGACACAAAGGCTCTCAAGACTCTTTGCACGTTGATTCGAACTCAAGTCGGCGATCCTACCGTTCTCATCAACAATGCGGGAATCGCACGGGGTTACAGCGTCATGGAAGGCTCGTACGCAGACGTTGAGTTGACCATCAAGACAAACTTGCTCGCCCCCTTCCTGCTTACGAAGGAATTTTTGCCGTACATGGTTCGCACCAATCATGGCCATATTGTCAATGTCGGGTCGATGAGTTCGGTTGTTCCCCCAGTGAGAATTGCTGACTACTCTGCCACCAAGGCTGGGCTCACCGCGATGCATGAGGTAAATGACACCTTTTTTTGACTTGTTGAGCGCTGTGACGACCGCTAACACTTCCCAGTCACTTCAACTTGAGCTGAAATACATTCACAAAGCGCCCAAGGTTCGTCAAACGCTTGGAATCTTTGGCTTCATCCGAACACCTCTGGTTCCCTTCGACCCCGGTCAGCCTCACTTCATGATGCCGCTCCTTCATGTGGACTCGGTAGGAGAGGCCATCGTGAATTCCCTTTACAGTGGCTTCGGACGGACGATCTATCTGCCCGGTATCATGTCATCTGTGACAGCCCTGGTAAGTTCTATGCGTTCCTCGAGTTTTTGGACTTGACTGACGTCACTGATTTGCAGCGAGCTGGTCCTGAGTGGTTGTGGCGTCTTGCGAGGGAGACGACTGCGAGCGCGAAAGATATCGCGTATACGCCAAGGCAAAAGATTGATGACACAACTGGTCAATTTGAGATGGTAGAACCAGCGGAGAAGTGACTGTGTTGGACTTTGTGTTCGGTTTTCTAGATGTAGAGAGAACGAAACTAATGCACATCTTTAACGTAACCAAATATGGCCCTTGTGGAAAATCACCAATTCACCACAACTTTCCGTTATCTGCCCTTCGAATTGTGTCAAGATTTTGACTTATCACACCTACAGAGTGCCAATGAGCTGAGACCTGCAGTTCGCTAGATGTGTTGATGGACCCCCAAGAGCCCCCAGTCGGATGAGTTCAACCGCATCGAGATGGACCGGGGCGTCAACATCTCCGTTACCCCGGCGCTCCGGTTGTGAACTGTTGCATTCTCACATAGCTCGTGTGCTCCCGATCTGCCAAGAACCATGGTCGCACAGTAGTCCTGAGCGGGATCGTCACCCTTCCGCGACCAGCTCCATTTTCCCCTCATCCTCGGGCCGTAGCTCTCCACTTTAGGGCGATCCCCCCATCAAACGAGGTCTCTTAGGTCATGGTGTTTCTCAGAAGCTCTCACAAAGTTTCACAACGACGTCGTAGTAGCATGCATATGCTTGCCACCCTCGGACGAGACGGCCACGCCCAACGTGGGACGAGCCGAGGCATGGGTGAACTACCCACCGTTGACCATGGTCAACGACGACATGTTCCCCCGCACTATCCTACCCTCCGCGAGTGTTTGGTCGCTTCCTGAAACTGAGTTTTCGACCTCATCCTTTCTGGGAACAGAGTCAACAGGTGTACCGGAAGTCAGAGACGGTAACTCGTGACTATCATTTTCGAAAACAGTGTCAATACATAGGCCGATTTGACACGCGGAAAATGTCGAAAGCTTCGGATACGCCTACCTTTAGTCAGTTCGCGTGCGTGGGGACTGGGTTCTCGGCGATCGGGCTGGGAGCTACGTTGAAAAGATGGTACGGCATCGGCGACATCAAATTCTTTGAGCGGCACAGTGATCTCGGAGGAACATGGTTCATCAACCAATACCCAGGTAACGTTCCCTTACGAGTATGGGCTTCGCCAAGCGCAGCAGTCATTGACATCGACCCAAAGGATGTGCATGCGATATACCCAGCGCATTGTACAGCTTCTCGTTCGAGTCCAACCCAGACTGGAGTCGAGTCCTGCCTCCGCAACAGGAGCTATGGCAGTACCTCCACGATGTGGCTGAGAAATACTCGCTCATAGAGAAGATGAGGTTCGGCGTCAATGTCGAGCAATGCGTCTGGTCGGAAGAACGCAAACGCTGGAGGATGAACATTCGTCACTACGAAACCAACCAAGTCTTTGCGCATGAGTGTCAGTTTCTCTTTGCTGCCACAGGACAACTCATGCAGCCGCGAGAGATCGACGTTCCCGGTTCAGCAAGCTTCAAGGGTCGCATCTTTCATTCGTCCCGGTGGGATCAAACCCTGGATATCCAAGACAAGAAAGTTGTTGTCATTGGAAACGGGTGTACCGCATCGCAAATCGTCCCGGCGATTGTAGGCAAGACGAAGCACCTCACGCAAGCTATCCGCACAAAGCACTGGATCTTACCCCCCGTCGACAACGAGAATACAGAGTTCATGAAGAACGTCTTGAGACATGTGCCAGGAACACAGACGCTGCAAAGATTTCTGGTCTTCGCTGCGGCAGAAAACACACTGCGAGGGTTTTATATGACGAATGATGGGAACAAGTATCGCAAGCGTGCTAGAGCCAACGCTGAGAAGTATATGAAGACAACGGCGCCGGCGAAGTATCATGACAAACTCGTACCTGACTTCGAACTCGGTTGCAAGAGACGGATCTTCGACTCAGGTTACTTGAAGAGCTTGCACTCGGAAAATCTCACTTTGATAGACGAACCGATCCAAGAAATTGTGCCAGAGGGTATTCGGACCCGAGAAGGCGTCACGGAAGCGGATGTCATCGTTTTGGCCAATGGTTTTGTGACAAACAATGCGGTTGGAGGCTTAGATGTCATTGGTCGAAACGGAGAGCAGATAGACCAGCATTGGGAGTCGTTTGGTGGCCCAGAGGCCTACAATTGCACGATTGCAAGCGGGTTTCCAAACTTCTTTGTACTTCTTGGTAAGCTCTCTCCTACATGCCATACAGGAGTAGGGTGGTTGCTAATTCAGTCTACTCTAGGACCGAACTCACTCACAGGCCACGCGTCCACCATCATCGCAGCGGAAAACTCCATTAACTTTGCACTTCGCATTATCAAACCGGTGCTTGATGGCAAGGGAATGACCGTCGAAGTTACTAGAGAGGCAGAGCAGCAATACGTCAACCAGATGCAGGCCGACATGCAAAAGACTGTATGGTCTACGGGATGCACTAGCTGGTATCTGAAGGACACAACGGACGGCAAGAAGTGGAACGGCTCGACCTATCCTTACTCTCAAGCATACTTCTGGTATCGCTGCTTGTTCCCCGACTTTGGTGACTTGGAAATACGTGTAAGCATGCGAGTGAGACGAGGTTACTTGAAACAGCAAAGTGCTGACATATCAAAGGGACCGACTCATGCCGGGCGTAGGAGACGGACATGGCCAAAGAAGTTGGCAGTTGCCGCTGTTGTGGGATACGCTCTGTCACTGCTATTTGGCCTGACTCGGAACCCATTGGCTCGAAACCGCTATTGGCAGCAGTTCAGTGTGGGCATGCAATTGTTAAGAGCTTTGTTGATGATGAAATTAGCCAATTTGAGAAGGAGGGTTGGCATGGTGTGAGGAAGGAGACTTTGGAAATGAGGATTGGTCAAAGGAAAAATGCAGGAACGAGGTTTAAGAAAAAAACATCAAAATGAGTTGCGAGCTGATGACAAGAGTACAGCTGCATTTGATGGGGAGGCAGTGCGAAGTTTCATATAAGTTGGTATTTATTACTAGTAAACTCGAAGTGAAGTGTGACTTGTGTCCACTTTACTACAAGATACTTACTCATAGAGGGAAGTTTCAACGAGTCTATCTCACTTTGTCTCACTTCAAATCCTTCCGGTTGAGTATTTAAGAATGCAATGTGAAGGTCACTGTGATATTCACGTATGGAATATGAGGGGCGGAAGAAATTGTGAACAACAAGTGGTATCTTTTACTTTTTTGACTATCTTCCTTGACGATGCAAGCGTAAGAGTTCAGCGATTTGACATTCCAGTTTCATTGCTTTTAACCATTTACAACTTGGCAGCAGCCTTGGCCAGGTCGGCAAGGGCCTCACGGCGCTTGAACTTGGCGTCCTGGATGACACCAGCATCGGCGTCGCTGGAGAAGTTGCCGGTCCACTCAACGAAGGTGCTGTTCTCGTTCTCACCAGAGGTAACGGGGTAGCAGCGGATGGTGCTGACGACGGAGGTGTAAGACAGCTCAGGCTGGGAGGTGATGACGCTGTAGGTGATGTAGTGGTTGATGGTCTGAATGTGAAAATTAGTATCCGCGTAGTCATCTGTTCGCGATCATGAGGAAGTAAGTCAAACCCCCCACTTCCTGGCACCCCCCTGTTTCTGGCACCCACAAAAACGATGGGATCACAACCCAACCTCCTCATTACTATTAACTATTGATCCTCAACCACACCCACTACAATACAACTGCCAGCCTCACTAGGGCATTCAGAGTCGCTGGATTCAGCCGTAATAACCTCCTTTTCACCCGCTTCGATTTGAGCCCGATGGATATCCCTGATGTTCGCAAACTTCGTGTTGGGATCGATCTGAACAGTCTTCCTCTTCCTAACTGCAGCGTTGGTAACCAGCCCTCAGGTGAGCCAGCTGCTGCTGGGCAGCTGCCAGTTGCCAGGCCTGCTCTGTGAAGCCTTTTTTCACCTTCCTGAACAGCAGCCGTTGAGTGCTGGTATCATTGTCGAGTTGGGTGTATAAGTGCAGTTGACCGCTGAGCTCTGCCAGCTTCCTGGGTGTCGACCAGACCACAGAGGAAGCAGAATCCCATGGCTCAACAGGGGTAGTTTGTTGACCATTATGGCATCGCTTTTGCCCCGACTGGTTGGTTTGGGTGTGGTGGGCAGCAGAAGGCTCAGGTAATACCATAGGGTTCATCAGGGCTTAACCATCGCTACAGGGTGTAGACCAGTCCACTTCCAACCACTTCTGATGTTCGAGACTGATAGACCAGCAAGTCGAGCCTTCTGGTAACAGTCCAGGAAGTTCCTTTTACCTATAATGGTAGAGTCGTTCCATTGAGACAAGTAACCGAGCTCCTTCCGATAGGCTGACTTAACAGGGCTGAAGACAGACTGGTCAAGTGGCTGGAGGACATGAGAGGAGTGTGGTGGTAAGAACAGTAAATGGATATTGTTAATATAGCAATTCCACATGAAGTCTGTCGTCGTATGACTCCCATGCCCATCCACAATCAACAGTCGAGCCTCGCCCTCAGCCTCGGGCATAGTCTGTGGGATAAACACCTTCTCTAACCATTCAATGGCAGTTAAGTCTGTAGTCCAGCCATTATCTGTTGCTGTAAACTCCCACCCATCGTATGGAACCAGATGTAATGGAAACCACTGTTGTTGGACCGTCCCCCTTGAAAATGATAAGAGGACGAAGTGCCCTACCCAAGGCTGAGATACACTCAATGATAGAGACCCATGCCCTCGACCCAGGTTGTTTCTTGCGAACAGACGTCGTCTCAGCCATGCCCAGCACTAACCCATTAGCTCCTGACCCTCGAGGATGCCAGTCTCATCCATATTATATCTGTTGGCTGGTTTGATGTCCTTGATCTCAGGGATAGCAAGGAACTTAAACCAGTTCCTAATGACCTCAGTAGATGCCCCATTAACGCGTCTAGAATCGATGGAACGACTTCTCTGAACCTTAATGATAGGGTTCCTTCTCACGAAGGCATAGATCCAGCCTTTTCTAATGGTTTGGTATCCCCAGCAGCAGCCAGAACTCGCTCTGCGAATTCCTTCACCTGTTGGTGCGTTGGTGCGAGGCCCAGCGAAGCCTGAATGCGAACCCATTGTGCCAGCTTACTCTCCTGGTCAGGAGACAGCCTCTGCCAGTCAGCAAAAGCCACTTTCCTAGTCTGACCACCTTGGAGACGTAGTTGGAGGGTTGATCGTGGTATCCCATACTCCAATGAGGCTCTCTTTTGACTCTTGCCGTTTGAGATGTCCTCGAGAGCCTGACGAAGCTGATCTTCGGTATATTGAGGCATTAGATATAGAAGAAGGTATGTGCAAAAAATGAGCCCATTTGGACTCGAATTGAAAATGTTGTGATAAAAGGAGGTTGGGGGTGGGCATTGCGTTGTGGTGGATTTTCGCGTTTTTGTGGGTGCCAGAAACAGGGGGGTGCCGGGAAGTGGGGGGTTTGACTTACCGGTACGTGAGCAATAACGCTTAAGTTTCTGTACCCATACCCCGTACGCTGTAGGGCAGCGCAAGCGCATTGGGGCGCCGCTAACTTGACTTTAAGATTATGCCTCAAGTATTCCCTGCTGCACTCGCCCGGCAGGGGCGGGCAGCAAGCAACCCCTTGCCAAAAATCATTGAGGAAGCACTACTCTGAATCATTGTTCCAACCACCCTTCTTCCAATGCGAGCCATAGATGCAAATCTCGAGTGTCCTTGAGTCACGTTCAGCAGACAATAATTGAGCAGGAAAGAGAATCCGTGGTCAAGTGTAAACCCGCCATACAACCAACCGCATTAACTACAAGACGAAGTATCCCATCACCTTCGAACTGGGCTGGTTCTCTCGCTGAGATGCAATATGGATTGCATTGACGACCGTGCCTCTTTGCTAGGATTGATGGCGACTTTCAGTGCCGTTACTTCCAATGCCATTGATCTCAATCCATGCTGAATCGCTGCCCATTGCCCTAATCAAGACATTCAACCCCTTATTGACTTGAACTCAAACAGACAATAAACCGTAAGAATGTCAAGCACATAAGCACTTATCAGAATCGTTCTTTTAATGTTTAGAAGCGACGCTTCATCTCTAACTCTCATCATAACAACGGTCCAAGGATTTGGTAGAAGACACTACTCGCCTTGTCAGTGACGGGTTCCATCAGAGCAAAGTCTAATTCTAGGAAGCGAAAAGCCGGTTCCACTCTTGAGTGAACTCATCTCAAGCAGCTGACTGCGCGGTATCAATCCGTACAACAGGGTATTAGTTCTTAGACAAGCCTCCCTTGGCGCCAGGTGATCAAACTCCTACTTTCCGATGACAACAGGAGAACATCCATACTGGCTGGCTGGATGCACAGTTCATCTCTTCTTCTCACTCCTAGGTTTCTTCTTTAAAGTCACATGATATCTCAAAGTAGAAATGAGTTGTGTCGCATGGCCTGATTCCATAGCTAAGTGCATGATGCTCGTCAAGTCACGGAAGTCGTAGTTTATGGCGTAATAGCATCATAATAGGCTTCTACGTACTCCGTAGTTGTGCGGTAGAATCAGGTGCAGGCTCTGGCTGAATGTATTGTGCGATAATTCCAAGATTATTATAGCAACCCCCAAGTTACAGGTATGCACGTATCAAGAGCAAGTGCCACGGTATCCAGCACCCCTCTCCCATTGTTGGTAACCATTAATGTACCCATAAAGCTTACACGCAGTGAAGAAGTCGTCACCGCTGATCACATTGCCAGGCTTCTGTATGCACTTGACGCCGTCAAAGGTAGCCTGTTGGCATTGTTAGCCTTTAATGTCACGTCGAGTGGTAGAGATACTTACCACCGATCCCCAGCGCTCCTCGCAAACCGCCTTCGTCCAGTCGTTTCTGGGAATCCATCCTTCTGCGGTCAAAAGGCAGCAGTTGTGACTGCTGTGGTCCTTGCTATTGGTAGGTTCCATTAGCCCCCGTCATTCTTGAGAAGGGGAAGGGGCATATAACGAGCATGCTTACCTCTGAGCTCCTTGGATGAGCAGAAAAGCAAGGGCGAAGGTCTTGAGAACGGCGGCCATTTTGTCTTGATGTCTGATGATTGCCAACGAGAAAGGAGTGGGATTTCTGCCTAGTGACATTTCGATTTTCAGTGGGCGAGAGCGCCTATTTAAGCTGCATGTGGACATTTCATGTCGCTCATCACCATCTCTCGTTCTTTCCGCTCAGGCCCGAGTCAATCTCTTCGGTTCACGCCCACTCAACTAACTATTGGGTGTTGTTGACTTGTAATTGCAGTCAACAAGGTCCTTCAACGAAAGACAAAGACAAATAGATGATAGAACCATATCACTCATAACAGTTGCCACGGGGCCCCCGCCTGAGGATTCCGGCATCCCACATGGCTCGTAGTGGTCAGACGCCGGTCAGACGCCTAGCAAGTCGTTGCTGGCTCCGCGGATGCCGTATTGAAAATCCTGACAGGGGTCCTGATCAATGAGACGACGCAATATGTTCCCCATACCATAAGTCGAGCCTCTCGGGAAGGCGGCTCAGAGTCGAGACTTTCATTTATTAGAATTCCGAACTCGACTCGACAAAGTACTAGCAGAATGAAGATACCCCCGGAAAATCATCTCGCAAAATTCTGAATAAGCCAGGCCGAGCTTACAGACTCTACCTTGTTTGGAGATTGACTCAAGTCCTCAATTGTCACAATAACGTAATCGATTGATTAAGCACCTACCTTACGTAGAGTGTCAAAAGGGTATGTAGGCTATCCTAGCCCAGGACCATGCGTTCATTGTTCAAAATCATTCAACATAAATCATGGCTGTTCATAACCCTTAATATCAGCTCTCGGTTCTAAAATATTGATCGACATTGATGGATATGGAGGGCTTGAAAAGCTCAAGCGTCGACAAGCAAATTCGCGGGTAATGACTCGTGCCGCGAGTCGCTACAATACACTGGTGTCACGCAAAAAGCTTCAGTCTGTTGCGCGGCCACATGAAAGATCGTCGGAGAGAGCACATCCAGATTTCCTACTCAATAACCAGTGTATAAAGAGTCTGCATTTGTCTCTCTGTCAGCTTGCCTGCTTGACTTTTGCGGAAAATAGGGACCAGCCAGGGACGATCAATGAGGGAACAACCCCCAAACTACATGTACTGGCAATTGTAAGAGCCTGAGGAAGGCAATTTTGGAATACGTAATGTAAAACATGCATCGCTTAATTTGCCATCGTCATAGTGGAATCACTTCCATAAGATCATGTCTTGGGCTGGTTTCTAGGCTCTACGTTACCGCAACCCATCTTGCGAAAACGAGCTACAGAGTACGAAAGCGAACTGTCGGGTCCGGACCGGAT